AGAAAGAAAAGGATCTCCGAGAGTGGCTCTTATATTGTTCTGATAACGTTACTTTAAAATAAAACCGTGTACACATTTATAATGTATTATTGGATTTTGCGCATTATTGCGATTAATCGCTGTTAATCACATTTACATTTTTTTTATCTTTGCCCATCACTATTCATAATGTATCACTGATTTTAAATTCAAGAGTAAATTGGTTCAAACCCTCCCCAATACATCGGTCTGTCTCCTCTCTGTAGAAAAACTGTCTTTCTCTGGGTGGACACCTTGCATCCGTTCACAGCGTCCTGGAGTACCATGAGATTCAGAAAGCCATCATGAGCTCCAGTTTCCATCATCCAAGCACATGGATTGGAGGCTCTGATGCACAAGAGGTATTTTATTCACCATTACTTACAAATATTGCACTCATTCTGTTTTACATTTGAATTCCTTTTATTCATGCAATATCTACTCATATCTACATTTATTTTCTTTAATCACCTTGTATTATATATTATTTCATACTAACTCAAATGTTTTCCTCCAGGAGAATCAATGGATCTGGAGTGATGGGACAAGATTTGACTACACAAATTGGGCCAATGGAGAGCCTAACAACTTGAGGGGTCACCAGAATTGCATTCAAATGAATTTTGGAGGTAAAAGAACACAGTGTTTCTTGTAGGTGTTGAGCCATTACATCCACTTTATACTGGTGTTGGTTCTGTTTAGTCGTTTTGACAAGTTTGATTGGTTTGTGTTCAATTCACTAACTCCCCTTCTTGTTTGTGTACTGGCAGATGCGAAGGCCTGGGATGACTGCAACTGCTTGAATAAACGTCCATCTATTTGTGCCCAGTGAACCTGATCCCTTCACTGGCATTGAAGCCTCAGGTGCCCCTTGATTAGGAAAAAGGGGGTGCAAGCTTTCAAACACATCTGATTGTATTTCACATCTATACTTTTCTTTTCTGTCGCTGTAACGCTATATAAGGAACGATACGACGACTGACACGAGCTGGACGGTGTTTGAGGCCTTGAGCCTCAGTAAGAGTGGTTGAGGGAAAAAATGCTTCTAGCACAACCTTACATATATTCTACACATAATCTTTCTTTCTTTATGCATTAATAAAAGCTAGAGCATTGAAACAAGCTGGTCTGTCATTAATCTGAATTAATCTTTGCAGTGAAAACAGCTCATTAGTTTGTTACAAGATAGAGGTTTTTAGTAAATAAAAGTATTCAACCATAATATGTTAAATGGTGACTCTCATTATTAATTTTTTGTAATAATAAAAATAATGCAGTATACTGATTTGTGTTTAGCCAGTAATTTGTCTTCCTGATCCGTTGACTTGTTATGTACCGTCCGACCTGAGATGCACCAACGTGCTTAAAATCTCTCAGAGGAACTATTTGAGAGCATAAAGTTTACATACAGCAAATATACTCTTGATCAAAAGCATCATCACGTCATCTGTGAAACTGTCTCTTGTTTTTGGTCAGTGTGGAACTTCACTGAGAAGGTTTGGTTCCATGAACTTAACTGTTACGGTTGAAGACTAACGTCTATTTGAAAAAGAATGTGTTGAAACAGAGAGAGTTGGGTCTACTGGTTCAGAACCAAATTTGGCTGAAAATTCCACCCAAACCCAAATGTCCCATTTAGCCGTAATTCTTTTGTTGAAACTCTGCACTGAGGTCTGATTGGACGAGGGCCATGGACACCACGGGGGCCCCTGTGCTGTGGCATAAGATTATAAAAAACAACAAACAAAAAGGACCTGCTAACTGCTATTCCTTAACTTCTGTGGAAAAACGTTTCTGGGTGAAGAACAGACGGAGAATTCATGAGGACTTAGGAAAAGACAGCGGCAGTGTTTAGGGAATCTGACTCGACGGGAGACGCATGTCAGTGACGTTAGTCTGCAGCGGCTACAAAGAAGCATCTTAAGATGCCTTCATGTGTTGTTACAGTGCTGAGTCATGCAGGTGGTTCAAAGTAAAACCTTATTAACGAGGCTGCAACATGAATGAGCGATGCTAACGGTTGCTCACATGATCTGCGTTTCTCGGTCGTGATCGTTGTTCCTCGTCAACGGCCAATTGGTACGTCACTGCTTAAAAATTCCCGCCTTTGTGGGAATTTGTGGTACAGAATTATCTCCTTTCCTTTGGCAAAGGATGGTCCAGTGGTTCCTGTGTCAAAGAAGCTAAGCAAGGAGGCATCGAAGCTCCTTTCCTTAGCGTTAGGTAATTGCTGGTTCTCTTATTCTCTAACAACCTGACACCGTACACGTGTTGCTGCGGGGCTTACTAGTTATTTAACAGCACAACTATGTGAAAGAGGGACGTATAAATATTCTAAAAGTGACTCTATAAGAATGTACCTGGCCAGATCCCCCAAACAAATCATATCCATGCTGGTCATCATCTTGCTATAGTGCACTTACCTTGTCTTAGTAAGTCTAAGTAAGTGTAATTCTTTACTTCCTTTCCCACACTGTGCCTATCAAAGTATCTTGCTTTCAGTCATAAATGAGTTAGTCCCAAGTTGTTATGAAATAGTCAGAATGTAAGAAATTTTTCCTTTTTTTTCCCCTGAAAAATATTTTATTTTGAAAAAACCCTTTTGACACATTTCCCAAACGTCTTACAATATATTTTTCTGGTTGCACTTTTGCATGTGTTTTGATATGAACAGTGAGCTGGTAGCTTGTTGTTCATATGCAGGTTGCACTCAGTCGCAAACCTGCAATTCTCAACATAATTACTGGGATTATATATATAAATATAACTGTCAGATTGAATTTTACCTGACCTCAACAGAACAAACTGAAAGAAAATTGAGGGAAGACAATATGGAAGACTATTATGACAGCTTGATGTGTTCTTTCAGTGGAAATAATAGCAGGAATTTAAGTGTGGGATATCATTTATCACAGGGTACAATATAATAATATATAGCATTGACAGAGAAGGACGAATTAGGCGTGAAGCAGAGTTCATCTGACAGCAGATGTGCCAGAGACATAACACAATCACTATACAATTATGGCGTTTAAACCATCAATGGTGAAATGATAAACTAAACCTTTGAAATCTTAAAACTACAATGTACTTTTGAAATGGATGAACAAATTCTTTAGAATTACAACTAAAAATAGTGTTGTAGGTTGTATGTTGAAAATAGATGAAGCAATGTCAATGACTCGAGAACAATTCTCACTTTCATGTGGTAAACTGTGCAGATAAGAACTGCAAGTTCCTCTTTTCACCATGACCATGAAACATGAAAATTACTTTCTTCTACAGCCCTTTAGTCACTGTGTTTTCTAAAATGTGTGTCCTCAACAAAGAAGTTTACGTTATGCTAAAAACAGAAACATGTAGTCTATTATTTTGAAGGTTTAATTCAACCAAACACCACTGATTTGCTCCGCTTAATGCAGGAGCCAACTCAAAGAAAAACCAACCAACAAAGTTTGACTCCTTTTCCATGTAAAAATTTGCCTCATATACTGTAAGCCAACAATTGAATAGACATGAATCAAAGTTTTTACAAAATTCAAAAACTGTTTAACAAAGGACATGATTGATTCTCAACGTATTAATATACAGGAAAATATTTGCATTCAAATGAAATAATCAGAGCAATTATAGTGACAAGCAGACATGTGTAGGTTCCAGGTCAAAAGAACGATAAAGCGTCACATAAGCACATTTAGTACAGTTAAATGACTTTACTTTCGGACCTGATAAGCTCCATTGTAAATGGAACCTTCAGGATATACACAATCGGCTCGATCTGATCATTTAAAGTTGTCCATGTGGTCCCTCTGTACCCGATGTAGCTGCAATGTATTTTCACATATGAGGCAGCGCACATTAAATACTGCTTGGCAATGGCACAACAATGATTCCTCCTTTACTCTTGAGACAGGTGTGCAGCTGGTGACCCCAATGACTAGATTCATGGTGAGAACACGGGCGACTGTTAAGCACGGTCGTCCTCCAATCAGAGGGTTGTCGGTTTGATCCCAGGCCCGGCTAACTTGCATGTCGATGTGTCCTTGGGCAAGACACTTAACCCAACATTGCTCCTGTAGCTGCGACTACAGTGTGTGAAAGGTAGTTACTGATGGGCAGATGTCACTGTGTATGGTTCTCCTGTCATCAGTGTGTGAATGGGTGTGAATGGGTGAATGATGTCATGTAGTGTTAAAGCGCTTTGAGTGGTCAGAAGACTTGAAGTGCTATACAAGTACAGTCCATTTAGCAGTCGGTGCCAACACAAGATGCTGCAGGGGCGTACACTTTGAGGTTGGCTATGGGTAGCATGTACAGACATCATGACATGATCTTCTACAACGTAAGCAACGTAATAAGTGTCGCAACGTAAACAAATCTCTAGTGGTAGGTCCATCATTTCACAGCCGGATGTGATTGGCTGCACATTCAAACGTAGCTCCTCCCACGTTTTTTTTGTGACATTTCTCTCCACCCAATCTTGAACCGAACCAGAAATCTCCCTCTCCGGACTGTCCCTTGTTATTTCTACATTACAACACATTCAATGAATAAACTTTTGGCCTACGGCTTCTACATGTAAACATAACATAATATAATCCTCATCCAATAGCTAATACACTCTACATAAGATATCTTAAATCATCACAGTTCATAACATTTTATGATGAGAAATCAGAACAATTGCCTGTCAGGGCTTTCCTTCATCCGATCTTTTGCTAAAACCCTTCATTGGAAGAAAATATGGCAGAAATCCATAGCGGAAAGTTTAAGCGCCCTTCAAGCAGGCTGAACATTACATTAAGGCTGGATTTCATGTGTACAGTAATTAAAGGCCTTATAAAATGTCTTCATATTAGTTATTTATAACATACTAATATAATATCTAAGAACACAAACTATAATTCTAACAATAGTTATAATCAGATATTATAATTTCTAACGTTGCTCTTTTGCTTAAATTCCTAATATGGCCACATAGAGGTCCTTAAGAACAAAAGGCTTCCGATGCCTAGAGCTAATTTTGAGTGCTCTGTGTAGACATCTTGCTCCTATTCTGCAGACACACAAAAACATCCCTCTTGAACCGTGGGAAAGTTTTTACCAGCAACTGTCGGAAATACTTCTGAAACTTTTTCCCAACAAATGTGTAAAAGACGGGACTGATACAAAAGTAAGCGTAGGCCATGACACGAGTGACTTCAAGAGCATAATCCATTTTCTGCCTTGTTTCACAGTCAGCGTCTTCATCATTCATCAGCATTAGAATGTTAAATAGGATCCAGCATGTGAAAAATAGCAGTACAATGACAAATATCAACCTGACTGTCTTGAATTTGGTGACGATCTTGGATGAAACGACAGTGATAGCAATCCTGACATAGCAGTAGATGGTAACAGCAAGAGGAACGATCAAGAAAAGGATAAGCTGAATGTAGAATCCAAAGTCACTCAGCAGCTTCCCTTCTATACCAGGTATTTCATTAAGATACTCCTGACAGTACGTTGTGTTCTCGAAATCAACCAACGCCTTTGTATAAAATACATGGGCTTGAAGCATGCACAGGCAGCTGACCAAACACACCAACACGCAGGATACTGCCGCATACCTTTGACTTCTCAATCGAGACGCGGTCAGGGAGTGAACAACTGCAAGGTGTCGATCGAAGGTCAAAAGGGTTAGAAACAGGACGGAGCTGTAGGAGCCCAGATAGTACACGGTGCCATGAATCTTGCACATGACATTGCCGAAGATCCAGTTGGAGAGCTGCAAGTAGACTCCCATGAAGGGGAGACTGCTCATGAAGATCAAGGAGGACATCACCAGGTTGACCAGCAAGATGTTGGTCACAGTAGTCAGCTTCTCAAACCTAAAAAGGAGTTAATTTTTAGGTTTGAACTAAAATTAAGAAAAATTTGTAACTTAACTTAAGTAAAAGCAAAGACTACATGCTTAAACGGTCACATAAGCACTTTTGAAACTGATGTTTCACACTGACTTGAGGTGGCTTCAAAGAGTATCAATGATCACCCGATACTTGTCAAATTGATACAACAGTTTAAACTACAGCAACATGATATACATTTTTGAATCTGAAGAATTTCTAAGTGGAATTAATAAACAGTTATACCACATTTTAGTATTATCTGTATTGCAGACCATGTATTTAGTGGTTAGAAATCTGCCAAAGGAGCATTTTGCCAGGAGCCTGCATCAATTATTTTGGGTCCGACATGTGAACAAACCTCTATACATAGATGGGCTTGCCTCAAAATGAAGAATTAAGAAAAATCAGAGCTGCGAGCCGTGATGAACGGTCCTTAGCCTTCCCTTCCGTGACGAAGGGGGAGGGTGCCCGACAGACGGACAAAAAATTCTAGTATGGGATTTGAACCCAGGACATCCACATGCTGACCCCAGATATACTCACCAGACTACAAAATTATGACTTTTTTCATTCTAGTTCCAGGATACTTTTTTAAAGTCTTCCCGTTATACATATGTCCAAATATTTTCATTTTACCTCTTTTGAGCAAAAACTCCCCATCAGCACTTGTCACCTAGGACACTGACCTAACTTTTTAGCTTGATCTTTCATGTGACCATTTTTCAGTCTTTCAAAAACTATATTTAAAGCGAATTATCACCATAGTCTTCAACCTCAAATTTGTGAAAATAAATCTTATCAGATTAAATGGCTAGGAGTAGGACATCAAAGTGTAAAACATTTGCATTTCCCTATGCCAATAGGTGGTGCTATAATTTTTTGAAAATCACTTTAAGGCCTACACTACCATCATGAATAACAAATATTGGCCAGAATTGAGAACATTCCTTAGTTTAAAAAAAAGACAAAATCGACAAATGGATGGCAGCCCAAAGCCAGGTAAATGGTCCATAACTTCACCCAATGAGATTAAAAAGCTTTTAATTACTTAAAAAACCCCAAAAAAGTGCCAGAACCAAATTCCAGCAATTTTAATTCTGTGCTCATTATGATGCTTCACAAAAAATTCCAAAAAGGGCAAACCGCAGACGGGAACCGGGAACAGGCAAGACACTCAACGTAAGACATTCAGGATTGAACATTCAATGACGCGACAAAGGACACAGGACACACAGGGCTTAAATACACTGGGAGGTGCAGGTTCTTGGACACAGGTGGAAACAATCAGACAATCACAGGGGATGACAGGACAAGGCAGGACAAGTGAAGTTGGACAGAAGGGGCAGGAAACTACAAAATACGGGGTAGGCCCCGTGGGCGGATGGGAGCCGGGCTCGGGGGTGCCGGCAGCAGGGGGTCGGGCAGCCCAAGGAACACCGGCGGGTGGGCCGGAGGAAGATCAGGCGACCGGGGAGCCTCCAGGGGTCAGCCCGGTGAGCGGACAGAAGCCGGCCTCGGAGGCGCTGCCTGCAAATCACAGGAAGCTGGGCTCAGAGGCGCCGGCTGCAGGTCATGGGAAGCCGAGGACAATGGAGTCAATGGAGCGAGTCGGGGAGCAGGCACTGGAGTCGGAGGTCGCTGCGGCCCAGCTGGAACGGGAGGTCGCTGTTTACTCTTACCGGGGCTCCTTCTCCTGGGGTTGAGGAGGTCCCGGGGCTCGAGACAAGCTCTTTGATAGCTCGTGGGACCGAACACAAAGTTTGTCTTACGCTGCCAAAATGGGCTCCAAATGGTCTGGTCCGTAATCTGGCAATGGGTCTGCTGAGTCCTTATGTGGTTGCGTCATTCTGTCAAGGACGGTGTGTAGGGAGAGGCAGGACCCAAACAAAATCAGACAATCACAGGGGATGACAGGACAGGGCAGGAAGTGAAGTTAACCCATGGACACAAGGGGCAGGAAACTACAAAATAGAATAGGAAACAAACCCAAACTGTGACACAGAGCTGGAAAAAAAAACATATTTTCACTCCTCCCTTTTCATCGCGGACACATTTGTCCCGTTTTTTTTTTTTTTCACAACTTTGTTCCCCTCGACCGGCAAACTGACGTTTGCGGAGATCTTCCTCCATGAATCTGAGGCCATCTACAATGACGGGTTGTAGAAGAGGTCATACTTACGCATTTCTTCCGACAAAAGTTCTTCACTCTGATCCGTTTTCTCGTAAACATTCTTCGTTAATTAATAATGGCGGTATTGTGCTATGAAAACAGAAATGTGAGACTCTGTAAAGGATGTAGTTTACGGATGTAGCAAGCGTCGCTTTTGACGCAAGCCTAGAAAAATGGGTCGAGGCACGCAAGCATGCAAGGAGGTGTGAAAAGGCACGCAAGGGACACGCAAGGGGGTCTTGCATCTGCGTCGCTCTAAAAACGCAGAAGCATAAACTAGGCTAACTAGGATGTGTATTTTGCCTGGTGTCTCCACGTTTTCCAATGTTTTTTTGTGTGCCGTATTCATCTATATCTTCACCACCAACATAATAGCAGATTTTTACACATCACTTACCCTAACCCTTATTCTGAAAGAAAATTGTTTAGATAGACAAACTAGTTAGTCATTTCACTTTTCATCATGGGTATGCCATTTTCGGATTACAGGCCCAAAAAAAACAGGGTTTTACGTTTTCACTTACTACCTGTAACGGCTTTAAACAGGTAATCCAAACCACCATTTACGTATTATTTAACAAATTTCTTCTGAATTATGTTCTCAGTCTTTGAATTTAGGCTTTGCTCCACTCACCGATGGATGATGAGCAGGACGAGTCCATTGCCAAAAACACTGAAGACAAACATAAAGTAGAAGAGGATAGATAGCTGAGCTCCCAGGAGGTTGACTGACTCCACACTGCACGGTGGGACCAGCTCCATGTTGGAATCACTATAGTCATAATCAGGTGTTGAAAATTTCATCTTAAATGTCGGTGGGGAAATCTGTCAACAAAAAAGTAGTCTCAAACATCCCCAGTATGATGCTGTCAGTATGAATGAAATAAGTCAAAAGTTAATCCTTTATCAAATGCGTATAACAGCTACGCATAAAAGGGACAAATTACCAAAGCTAGAACATAATGCTGTTATTACATGCAACAAACACAGGGCAGCCATTAAAGGGAAAGAGGACTTAGCTGGGCTGACTTACCACTTGTCCAGAAGAGAAGCTTCTGCTTGTTCGTTGACTTGTAGCGCCTGAGCTGTGACTCATGGTGAGTTTAAGTGATAAGTCAGCCAGAAGTGTGTGACTGTGAATAAGGGGGAGGTATTGGCTGAAAGTACTGCCTTCACTCCAAATCCCTCTCTGTCTTTTCCCAGGAGCGCTCTGTTAAGACTCTAAAGCTGACGGGGCAGTATCATCTGTGTACATCAAACGTTCCATAGACTTCTGTACCGAGTGTAAGAGCCCAAAGTGTGTATATTGTTTAATTGGACTTTCTTATATAGAGGACATTATATTGCATATATATGTTGAGATGACGGCCCCTTTTTTTACCTGCTTATATTGACGTCATGTTTGCAGCAGGTGCAACCTAGATGAGCTGATTAGTGCACACTTTTTCCATCGTGTGTTGGAATATGCTTTTTGTGCGGAAATAAACACCACGAAAAGAATTTAAAGATCTCCTGTCATTTGTGTCAAGAAAATAAACTCTGTGTGTCTGCAGCTTAATTGCGGCTTAATGATGTTCGTGACCGAAGGAACGCCGCTACACTGAGCATCATGATGTTCTTGTGCTGAGAATTAGGATTCAAAGCCATAAAGTAGCAAACTACTGCAGGAGAACGCAGACAAACCTATCAAGTCAGTTTGACAAAGATAATATTAGTTATCCCCTGAGAAGGTTGGGACCTTGAGAACCCAACAGAGTCTCACAGAAAGGTGTAAAATCCATCCATCTATCTTCAACCACTTATCCAGAGTTGGGTCGCGGGTAAAACAGCTCCAGCAGGGGAACCCAAACTTCCCTTTCCCGGGCCATCAGGACCACATCATCTGCAAAAAGCACCGCTGAAATCCACAGCCCCCCGAACTGTAGACCCTCCTCCTCCCGACTACGCCTCGATTTCCTGTCCATGAAAACCACAAACAGGATTAGTGAGGGCCAATAGATGAACTGCTGCTTTTTAAGAGAGGTTTTGGAAAGTTGGTGAATTGCATTAGTACTAGTATAGTGGCTCTCCAGTGAAAGCACTTTATTCATTCATGTAATCTCTTAACCATTCAAAGCCATCATACATCTATGGTGGAGGCTACCGTGCAAGGTTCGGCTATCCGCACGCCGATGGCACAGCCTTTGGGAGCAATAAGTTAAGCATCCGGCCAAAAGACACAACAACAGAACTGGAGGAGCACAGGATTGCTGATCATGTGAATTAAGTAAAAATCAAAAAAAAAAATGTAATATGTCGTTACACTCAGTAATCAGTTAAATTTGCTGATGATTCAGTTACACAAGAGAAGAGGCAGAACCTAAAATACTTTTAGCATATTTGTGATCTTAATGTACGGTTACAACATGTTTATACACTTTAATGCAGGAAGAATACCTTGCTGGCTGTCCTGCAGCACCTCTCATTCTTTCTGTGAAACTCTCCTTTCGGAGCGCTTGTTTCTCCCTCTAGAACGACCAGACAGCCCTCATTGGTCGACTGTTAAGCCTTATGAAAAACTGGAGCCAGAAATGGTTATATTCTTCCTATTTCATTTGATTTGGGAAGATATGCTTCACTGCCGACGTCACTGGTGCCTGATATATTTCAGGTTGAGACAATTGTCAATTGTCCGGGACAATTTCCGGAAATTGCCAGACCTCTAGTGGGATTCAGTTTATAGCTAACTGGGTTCAGCCTCTTGCAACGTTCTTTCCGTATGTAATTGATCAAATACTATTTTATTTGATTCAATTTGTGACTTCAATCAGATTTGTTTAGAATAAACATCCTTTGAATTTAATTAAACATAGACATTAAGTAAATATAGACAGACTTATTTAGCTGAGGGACCTCATTTTGACGTGAGGGCTTCTGCAAAGGATTCCTGAATACTTTTACTTTTGGTTAAAATGAATGTTGCAATCCAAAATAAGAGGAATTCAATTAACACCATTAGCTAAAATAACAGCAGTGAAAAAAATGTTTATTAAAGATGTTTATTAACTTAGTAGTATTACCACTTGCAACTCAGCTCAGTGGTGTCTCTGATGGACGTTTATGTCAGGGGCCTCAAACTTCGGCCGGGGCGTCCGGGGGTCGTCCAGTGCGGCCCACAACCGCAGTGTGGACGACTTTGGCATACCGTCAGCACCACCCATCCCCCCGTTACACAGTTATCAGTAATGTTACCCAAGTATGCAAACTTAGAAGATTGACAAATTCGACACAGGAACAACTGAAATGAATAAATCACTTGAAATCCCTACTTTTGTCTTTTAAAAAAAAGAGAAACAAAAAAGGTGACAGTCACAACTTGCATCTCTGTACAAATGAATTAAAGCAAACTTTTTCAGTCAAAAAAAAAAAAAGGCCGTTCCGTCTTTGTTTTAAATTAGTTGCATTATAATAACTTCATTCAAATAATAAGTACATATCGCTTCAAACTGAAAAAAATTACATTTACTTCAAATATAAGAATTGAAGTAGGGAACATAGCAACCGCCCCCCCCCCCTCTCCCCCTCTTGGTGATGAAGCCGCGGCCCCCCGTCGGCCCACTGCGACCCACAGTTTGGGAACCTCTGACATGAAGGATCTGCTTTTTGTCTAATTAAAAAAGGCTTAGACCAGTGGTGTCAAACGCAATCTCATAGAGGGTCAACATTAAAAACTGGGACTACGTTGAGGGCCAAACAGGGTCAACATTTGTGAAACAGAAGGGATACACGATCATGAAGTACACAGAGTAGAATTCATGATGAAGAACACAAAGAAGACATACCAAGTGTTTTGTAAAACTTCAGGAAAGAAATAAGGAATAAGCTAAATGTCACTGTTATATAATTGAGGTTTATTTCAAAATAACATTATTTTACAACCACACACTTTTTACATAGAAATTGATTTATATATATATATATTTATATTTATATTACACACACACAGCTAACAGTATTTATTATGTATTTTAGACCTAATGTTTAAAAGATTAGGAATTACTTTTTCAATACATTTCAAATACAGGGGAAGGGCAACATAATCCACACAAGTGTCTCCTCGTGAAGTTTATTCACCACTGAAAACTTCAGTAATAAATTAAACACTCGAGAGTAAAACTCGGGTCAAAGAACTAAAGACGACAAATCCTTGACATCATATGAATTTGAGAATCACACAGTATGGAATGTTCTGCAGTGAACAACTGGACACGGGAGCAGAAAGCACAGTTACATGATTACCTGACAGTGATGTAGCGCTGCACATATGTTCAGGTTAGAGGGTGTGAAACACACGAGTCTGACGCTGCGGTCCCTGTAATTTCCCCTACCAACAGCCGTGGTTTACCCAACCGTACCTTCGTATTTCTTATCAAGTTTTTGGGCAGATTCTCCATAAAAATGAAGCGGCGTAGTCAGCGTCCTGACCAGGCGCAGATCTAATTAGATATTGGGCGAAAGCAGGGTACACTCTGCACAGGCTGCTAGACTACCGCACAGCTAACAGTGTCCAACCAGGTTCATCCAGAACCTCTTTGATGCCAAAAAACAGCTTTGTACTCAACATAGCTCATAACTGAATGCACATGTTGCACTGGATATAATTTGGTCCTTTTAAGATCTGCAAAGGACATGAATGGCCAAACAGGGTTTTTACACTGTGGGAAAGTTTCAGGAATATTAAATCATCGAAGAGTCATCAATCTTTTTTAGTACTTTTGGATGTGACAAACAATGTACTGCTGGAAATCACTCAAGTCTAGTGATTTGTATAAAACCACTTTAGATTTACATGCTGTAATGCTTGCAAAAGAAAGTAAAGAGAAAGCAATACGGAAAAACGTTTAGTGTGATATCTTCACGCATTAAAATCATATTTCAACCATTTAAAAGGGAAACGCACAGCAAAAACAACAATAGTAAGAAACAGTAGAATAGTCCCTGTAAAATACAAACATGTTGTTTCTCTGCACACTCACAGGGAGAGGGACACCTTTACATGTTATTGTTGCTTAATCTGGATTTAGCCTTCCAGGGTCCTTTACCAAGAAGCAAGTACAACAGAAAAAGGCTACCACAATCCAACGAAAAGTTACAGAGGGTTACCCAATCTAGCTGTGAGAGAAAAAAGGTTTTCTTTTCTATCTCATTATCATCCATAGAAAAAACGTAAGGAGCTAACACACAAAACCAACTTTATGATATTAATATATGATAAGTCAGTAGGTAGTACTTTTATACGGTTTTATTTCTCATCAGGAACATAGTGTTCAGCATCAGTGACCATGGCCACGAACTCTGGATCAAACTGAATTGAATCAAATACATTTTACCGAATCGCCCTGCAGAGTCTACTGTTCAACTTCATAAGGGTAAACATGATGAGACAGTAAAAAGAAGCAGGGAAAGCAGCAACTGGACGGAATGAGAAATTCATCATAGATATAAACATTTGGAAGCTTATCCAGGCAACCAATCATATGTCAGCACGCTGCACAGAACAACAGCAACAAAGTCACAGTCGAGTCTCAATTAAGAGGCCCCTTTGTTTGCCACACGTGCCCACACAGAAAAGCATGATTATTTGACTGGAATGCATTCAAACTTTGCTATTTCGTTCATCTAATACGGTTTACTTTGTTTAATATTTCTTTAGTTCTGTTGAGGTGATGCATCAGTTTTCTGTGCACGCATGTTGCATTGAAATGTGACGTGACTGTTGCTCCTCTGACTGAAAACACTCCCTCTAAACTGTTACTTTGCCAGTCTAAAAGTGTATCAAGCCAAGTTGCTTGGTATCTTAGTAAGCTGGGTGGCTAGTCTGCTGAGCGCCTTTAAGCATGAATTCCAGTCATGAACCAATGTCCTTCCTGTTTTTCTTAAAGTCGACTATCGAGGCTATTTCTGCCTCCAGTGTAGATGTTCTCCACACACAGTCATGGAGAAGCCAACGGTCACGCGCCTCTCAGTCCATCAGGGATTCGGTAATGTTTCACAGGAGCCCTTCCCACACTGCTATGTTATCAGACGTTGGGTCCTTTGCTGTAATGTTCCCTGAGGTTGTAGGTCTGATAACATATTGAAACATCACAAACCCCCGGAGGCCCTGCTTGGCCCCGTTTACCAGGATCTCCTTGTGCTCCAGGTTTTCCAGGAATACCTTGGCTTCCTGGATGGCCAATTCCATCGAATCCCCGAGAACCTTGAATCCCTGAAGCAATGAAGGTATAACACAGCTGTATTTCTGCCTCATTTATGATAAGAACTTTCTATTAAATTAGCTCATCTTTCAGTCAAACCAAAAATAGCACATGGCAGATCATCAATTACATCTATTCATGAATTAATCAGCCGGTGGAGCTTACAAAGCTTAAATACAGCTTTCCTTCACATTTCTCTCCCCCCACCTATACTAAGCTGTCACTAAAAGTACTAATTTATTGCAAACAGAGTCTTTGCACATTTCTAATTGGAAATGCAACACTAGAAAGAGCCCTGACGCATTCTTGCAGGCCAGATGCCAGAAAGGGTTGCTGAAATACTGTCGCTGGGTGAAGACATTTGAGGAAATTAGTTTTTTACATACCTGGATGTCCAGGTGGTCCTGGAGGTCCATGGTAACCTTCTCCTTTAATGCCTTTGAGCCCTCTTGGCCCCATATCACCTGGGGACATAACATATTATATAGCTTTGCATTAGCAACATAACTTCTATAGATGAGCTGTTGGATTGAGAGATGCAGGAACATAACATTTATGTTCCATTCAGAGCATTTCTGATGTCATTTGTTTAATAACCTGTATTTATTCAGCTTGGATAAATCAGATTGTAAAGCCCCCTCAGGAAAATTTGTCATTTGTGATTTTGAGCTGGACAAAATAAATTGAATTGAAATGACATAGAGTTGATTATCCCTAAATCTATATCACCTTTTAGGCCTGCAGGACCCTGCATTCCAGAATGTCCGGGGTAACCTGGAGTGCCCCTCCTGCCAGGGTATCCGGCAGGGCCCGTGGAGCCTTTGGTGCCTGGTGCTCCTGGCTCCCCCGGAGGTCCCTCCATGCTCTGGCAGGGCTCACACCTAGCTGGAGGGGCCAAGGACTGGAGCAGTGCTGGGAGCTGATCTGCAGGGCGAAGCCAAAAGGTGCTGAGTATCCAGTACTGTTTTAAATATCAGCTGATATTTCTTAATAGAGTCTGGCTCAATAATACGGTCCCTATGGGATTTTAAGAACCTCTCCACTGTTGCCATTATGTTGGAACCGTAGGAAATCAGGAGCCTTTTAGCTAAAAATATATTGTGTCCTTTCCAATCAATTACATGTGTAGTGAATCAAGTTTGACCATCATTGTTAATGATCCAATTAGAACTAAGCACATTGATTGACTATTATATTAGATGCTAACTCTGCAAATTGGGCAACTGCCTTTGCTGACAGCAGTAACATGTATCAATGACGACATCTGCATCTAATCAGGATGAAAATGTGTTTTGCAACTTCATCGAAGTTTTTTACCCATAAGCACAAGTTCATTTATGTTCATTTAGGCAAAGTGTGAGGGGGGTTAAAGAAGCCACCTCAATCAATCAATAAACCAATCATGGATTTTGGTTGAAGACCGCTATAATCAGTTGGCATCCATGAGGAGCATTTTGGTGTCTTTCAGCTAATTCTTTTGTTTTAACAGCCTGTAACTTTCTCAGAACACGGCCGACTGCTTTGGGCAGGTTAGCGCACTGGCGGCGCTGATAGCATTGTTGTTGATGTTTGCTAGCCACTAGCCGCCGGCGTAGCTATTGTCATGTTGGGAGCTAGCTAGCGGCCATATGCGTGTCACGGTTTGGGTTTGTTTCCTGTTTTATTTTGTAGTTTCATTCTTGTGTCCCTGGATAACTTCACTTCCTGCCTGTCTCCCCCTGTGATTGTCTGCCAGGTTGTTTCCACCTGTGTCCAATCACCTGCACCTCCCCAGTGTATTTAAGCCATCTTTTGTCCCTTGTCGCATCATTGAATGTGTTTCCCGAGGAGTCTGAATGTCTTTCCTGTGTTTGTGAATTCCCGGTCCCAGTCCTGTCTGCGTTTTGCCCCTAAAGCATCTTGATTTGTGGTTTTGATTAATAAAGTCGTCTTTGTTAAACCCTGCAAGTGAGTTCTGCCTCCGCCTACTAAACTATCCCGTTGTGGCACTGCGCGTCCTGGATTCCGGACTAAGAACCTTGAACTTGTACAACAGCAGCAGCTGTTTCCTGCAGAAGCTCGTAAAAGTGTGCACTGCCTGGTCAGGTAGCAGCAGACAGCCACAGATAGACATGTGAGGCAGCTGTTAGCAGCCTTTGGTGCGTGCTGGGAGGGAGTTTCAGACCAGAGTGTAAAACAAAGCAATACTTACTACGCAGAACATCAGTGCACAGCTTCAGAAGATATTCATCTGAGGGAGGCTTGCCCTGCAACACACACAGTTACACTTGGATTCAGCTGAATCAGCTGTGGGACTGGGAAAAACCGAGCGTGCCTGCAGATTTACACCCTCTCCTCAACGCTTCGTCCTCTGACTTCACACTGCGCTCCCTCACTGACAGCGACGCTTCCATTAATCCTGAACATAACGGCCCAGTCGAGGCAGGAAATCACTGATGCCTTCTTTCAGCCCATGTATCTTCTCAGAGAAGGGCGTCACTCACAGGCTTCCCAGGATATCCCGGTTGACCTGGTCGCCCCGGCAACCCGTCCTGACCAAGAAAACCCCTGGGACCAGCAGGTCCCATGTGGCCCATGTCCCCTTTCTTTCCTTCGGGCCCCCTGTGGCCTGAGTCACCTGTCATTCCAGTCTGGAGTCACAGGAGGGATAAGAGAGGAGGAAAAAAAGCTTACAAAAGAAGAGATTAATCATTATTATTGCTATTGACACATAAGGATAATAACATACCTTCTCCGAAACATTCCCAGATACTGTTTATCTAGTGTAGGTCGGCATATGTGTGAAGTTTTTCTATACTCAGAACTTTTCAGCATTTTAAGAGTTTATTCTTTTTTTATCTTTCCAAAGCCAAGAGCTGTATGAAGACCAGTGTGTCTGCTCAAACGTAAATTTCCAAATAATAACTGTACAGCGGTAAATCAAATTGTGCAACAAGACATTAAAAGAGTCAACATTAAAATGAATGTATCATCCGATGACGTCCTCCACATGTGAAGGAGGCTGGATCTCCACATATTGTGATCTGGACACAGTAGTCTATTGTACTATTTGATACTTCCGTATATATGTGCGTCTTTAGAAAAGAGGGCCTTTGTGATGTAGGCTTTGGCCCGGGGGGCCAGACTTCCCCGGCCTGGGGGTATTGACTGTGCAAGTCTTCTACAGCTTGACAGGCTTCAGAACAAGGCCGAATGGATTATATCTAATATCACAAAGTCTAATTTGACACACCTCTCCCTTCCTTCCCATGGCTCCCCTTTCGCCCTGATGGAAGAAAAAAAAGTGTGGGGTGAGGGGGGGTTGGGTGCAGAAGTGGGGGAAATAAAGAGACAGTTAGTAACTTCATATGAAATGACAGAAGAACTCGCTGCTTTGCCTTGCTGAACACAACCGTTCACGAAGGAGTTTAGGTCACTTTAATGCATTCTCTGAAGCTTTTTTTGTTTCTAAAAAAGCTCTGACTGTGGTGTTCTGCTTTCCTTAAAATGCTTCCTCTTTTTGCAATTGCATGTTCTTCTTTACTGGTAGGTGATTTCAACACCCCTTCGCCTGGAGGATACAAATAAAAAGTTCTCTTGCTTTGAGAAAATGTTTTCCAAGGATTTGCATGAGATGGTCGGGGAGTATTTTTAGAAGCATCGTGATGTCCACAGAGACTGTTGTGGAGTTTCTTACAGCCCTCATCACCCACCGACCTTCTACCTTGGGACCCTCTATTACATTCCACAACCTTGTCTCTCCCCGTTTCCAGTCGGCCATTACAAAAGACACAAAGGTGTCCGGCCCCCATAAAGCTCATGTCTGGTGCCAGGTCGTCCTTCAATCAGAGGATCGGAGGTTTGATTCCCGGCTCCTGAAGGAGCTTCTGTCCTCAGTGTATGAATGGGTGAGTGACATCTAGGGTGGAAGAGCTTTGATTGGTCATGAGACTAATAATAGAAAAACAACTACTTTCAGCATATTCACATCTCAAACACCGGAGATACAGCAGCGAGGTTTTCATTGTGCACTGAAAAAATATGCGTGGGCACAAAAGCGCTGGTCCACGAGGCCCCGAGTGTGCAGCGTTCTGAGCCATGCACCACAACGTGGAAGTCACACCTTCCCTGTATGTTTGGGTTTTGCCTTTCCAGTCTCCACCACTCAAAGCTCAAACTGCTTGTCAACACCTGCTGCCATTCCAGATGCCACCTGCCCATCAGGAGCAGAAATAATCCCCAACGGGGAAACATTCAGAGTAATCTGGGGGTCCGTATCCTGCCAGAGGACACTGTCCAATATGGACAGCAGGAGCTGAAGATCGGAGGAGAACACACAGTGAATGAGGAAGGACACCAGGAGAACAGAACCCACTGTAGAGCAAACGCTCATATTTATTTTTCCCAGTAAGTATTAGGAAGTCTGTCTGGAGACGAAAATATGTCATTGCAGCAGTAAAATACTTGTGATTCACTGCTGATGCATTTGGACCTGACAGTGTGTCTCATGTAGGCTGAGCTGCTCTTGACACTGTGGAAGTACAGAGTGGGAACATTAGACTGCAAACTGAGAAATACACTTCTTTTCTCTGTGTCACAAACAAGACTACACAACTCGGTCTCAACACACGCGCGCATTGTCTAAACCAGCAGTTCCCAAACTCAAGAATTTGAAATCTGAAAATCTTTTGTGGCCCACCCAAACCTTTAATCACAACTTTGATCAAAACATAAGGTCATTTAATCTTCCATAGTTTAAGAATTTAACCGATTAAAAATGTATTAACCGACAATGTATGTTTTGTATACCATTTTCTCCTATTTTTATCTTATATTTACTTTAATACTACAACGACAGGTGGACAAGAGCAGCCGTTTCCAGCGAGAGCCGTATTGTTTTATTAATCTGTTCGTTTAAATTGTTTGTGCTTCATCAGTTAATGTTTCACATACCTAATGTGCCGCTAGAATTGTTCAAATAATACTTAAACTGAGAAAAACATGTGCGTTATCAACATGTGCGTTCTTATCAATCGTAATTTAAATCATAAATATTTTTATAATAATTTCAAACTTTTTAAAATTGAAAATTAAAACCATTTTATTTATTTATTGTGAATGAACTCTCGCGGCCCACCTGCAGTACCTTCGCCAGACTTTGGGAATCGCTGGTCTAAACCCTATCTGGATAGGAGAAGATCCACGGCTCAGTGATCAATTCGTGCTAATCTATTCCTTGAATGCTCCTCAGCCGGTGTTGTTGGTATCAAGTTGTGGATTTCATAAAGCTTGGCTTGAAGTTCAACATCACCAAATAGTGATGAGGAAGATTATTGTGATGATGAATCAGTTTTGCAACCCTGCTTCTCACAGCTGAAGCCTTATTTCACCTTGGAATTACTCATGAGGAACATTTTTATTCTCATCTTTCCACCAGCTGAGGATATTTCAGCTCATCTGATCTCCCTAAAAACCTTTTTTTTGATTTTGTCATCAACAAAAAGGTTTTTTGTTGCCATGTTGCAGGAATAATACATCGTTCTGCAGAAGGCTTCAGCACTCACCCACCTGTAGGTGTCACCTAATCGAGGCAGGGTGTCACGGTTTGGGTTCTGTTTTATTTTGTAGTTTCTGGCCTCTTGTGTCCCTGGTTAACTTCACTTCCTGCCTTGTCCTGTGATTGGCTGCCGTGTCATGGTTGTTTCCACCTGTGTCCAATCACCTGCACCTCCCAGTGTATTTAAGCCGTGTGCGTCTCTTGTCACGTCATTGATGAATGTTCTGGAAGTTCAAGTCTGAGGCCACATTTACACATATTTACAGTTTTTACAGTATTTACAGAAACAAATATTTCTGCCCCTCCGTTTTCAAAAAAGTTTCTGTTTATATGAACCTGCATAAATACGTCCCCGGGCGCCATCATAACTACGCCAAACCTGTAGTCGGCAGTGTAACGAGAAGGATAAAGACGTGCAAACCAATCAGAATTCTTAAAACCAACAACAAGTCGCATACTGTGACGTTTGACAACCTAAAGCTCCGTTGGACAAAGTTCACACGCAAACACAAAAACTGAGTTTTCAGAAATCTCCACTTTTAGAAACGATCGTTTTCCGTGATAAAACCTCCGTTTTTGTGTAAATGAAAGGCCAAAATGTTTCCCCATCGTGTAAACGGGGTCTGAGGGTTCCTGGTTCCTGTCAGCATTTTTCTCCCTTGGCCTTTTTTTGATTTGAAGTCTTGACTATCAGTCTTTTAGTTTCCCAAAGCTCTGCGTCTGGGTCCTGCCTTCCCCGCCACGTGACACACGGCTGGGAGGCTTGAAGCTGCCGTTTTGACGCCAGCCCGGTCGGCTCGGATGTCCCCTTGTGGCCGACTACAGCTTTTCGCTCAAAGGGGCCGGCACGCCCGCTGCCAACCGACCTATCCAGCTGTCCCAGTTTGACCCTCCATCGGGGGGGAGACTACTGTACCCGGTTGCGCTCTAAGGGCTTAGATACCGTAGGACTGACCTCAGGACGACACCAGAACTTCTAGCCTGTGGAGGTCACCTGAGGTCACAGGTGACTTTGCTGTTATATAAAATACTCGACCTGCGCAGCCACGAGACAAAAGACCTGTGGTCATCCAGGATTCAGTGAACCGTAGTTACTCACGTAACTTTTGTTTTGTATTGATATCATCTTCATTCCAGTTGTTGTGATTTTATCAGAAGATTTCTGTTATTAACAACTGACAGATGTTGAGATTAAATACAACTCGAGTTCCGACCACTATTTAGCTGCTTGTAAGTGATGGGTGGAGATGTTCTTGCCATCCATTGGTCCTTGTAACTCACTGCACGCCAGCACATATATTTCAAACACAGAACTGAATCTCAACATTGAAAAAAGCTTCACTGCCACCCAGTGGGGGGAGTGCAAATCTACACTCACAGGTACACCGGGAGTCCCTGGATCTCCATCTGTGCCTCGCTCCCCCTGCAGAGACATACATCATGATTAAATGTTTGTTTGCACACGTGCTGGTTTGTGTGTGTGTGTGTCATTGAACGTGTGCAGCAATGGTGAGTTAGGTGTGTGTGTGTGTTACACTGTGGAGTCCCATGTCTTCATTCTGTGTGTGTGTGTGTGTAGAGAAAAGGTCATGATTACTACTATCAGCCAATAAGGGCGGCCCGGGGAGGGACAGGGGGGAATTGGCTACTGGTGACCTTTAACAAGCCGGACTTTCCATCTCTTTTCCTGCAGCACTGTCACACAGCGCTCCTTCCTCTGCTCCTGACGCCTCTTTTCAATTACAGCGCGTAAGAAGGAAGCGACTGAGTAACGGAGCTCATCGCTTCCTCTGTGTTGATGCTCAGACGTTTGATGTCTTAATGATGTGAGATGTACTTTATGTAGTATATCTACTGTCAGTCTCTTAATAGAAGGTATGATATGACAATGGAAGATTATACGAAGCCATTGAGACCCTTAAGTCCACACAGCTGTAACGGGATTACTGTAATTATATTTAAACAGGCCGAGTGTCATAATGTGTCTATTTACAGAGGAGGTATTATTTGATTGTATTGTGTGTGTGTGTGTGTGTGTGTGTGTGTGTGTGTGTGTGTGTGTACTGTACTTGATTTAGTTGTGGTTTAATTAAGGACATGATTCTACCTGTTGACCCTGTTCTGTGGAATCGCTGCCCGTGATCTCCTCCCCTGGAAAGGCTTCTTTACCAACACTGATTTGATGCCATAACTCCTCTAGTGTTGTGAGTTTGTGTGTTGAACAGTGAAGCGTGAGTGTGAGGTGTAATACCTGGCGTCCTCCAGGGCCCGTCTCTCCTTTCCCCCCCTACAGATACATTGGACATTAGAAGACGTCCAACTTACAGGAAGTGTCACATCCAAATAGAGGCTGGTGGAGGAGTCCGCTCTGTCAGCCTCATGGGGAGTGACCAGAGACGCACAGGACGCCGGCAAAGCCACTGATCAGGATCAGGGCGCCTCCTATTTATCAGCTTTCACGCACGGCTTTTGAAGTGAGAAGGACGACCTTCAGCACCATTGAAATGAATCATGTCATCCAAGCAACGAATGAACAAGTATATATCATAGCAGCCATTACTATCTACAGTCCAACATGCAAACGAAGGCTATAAATCATTCATAGTGTCGTCTGTTACCATTCGTTCTAAACCAAACCATCCAGGTGTTATTTGAAATGGTGCATGTACCATAATAGATGACTTTCACCTTGTGACCTTTGAACCCAGACAGTCCTGTGGCACCCGGCAGCCCTGGAAACCCCGACTCCCCTGCCGAGCCCTGTAGAAGTGAGAGTGTAAATCAATGGCTGCCATGTTGCCCGTGTGTCTCTCCTATTGTGTGTAGAAACTTGCCAGCTGCTTCAGGGTCAGGGGTCGCCCTAAAGGTCACCGAGCCAGAAGCGACTTCCAACAGGAATAATCTGTACCCGTCACCAACAGATACAGGAACGCTTCACACTATTCGTTAGTAAACGTATTTTTGCAAATGAGTCCAGATAACTTTTTCCATCGAAGCTAGAAGCTAAAAACCCAAAACCCCCAAACCAATCGGTACCATTGTCACTTCATCTTCACTCTGTGGTGGTAAAACGTTCCACGATTACCATCCACACGCTAGGCGACCACATGCATGTGTGTTTTGCCCGGTATCTCCATGTTTTTTAGACCTTGATACCCTCTCAGTGACATTTTTTTTCAGCCGATTCTCAAAATTCAAAAGTTTTTTGTGTGATTTATTTCTTCACTCGTAAAATATACAGTGATTTTTAAATAGCAAAAGAGATTCTCAATTAAAAACAAAGTTGACTTTTTAATTGCTGAAAACGCGTCACTTCCAATAAAAGTCCAGCTGTCAATGATCAGCAGGACCCAAAGGGAAGTAGGAACTTTCTGGCACGATGAGAGAGTGATGTTGGTTTAGAAAAGAGAGAATGTAAACGCTGTAGATGGGGCACGTTCACGTGCACTGTAAGCCGCCCCTCTTTCACACATCGGTTCAGTGTGTAGTTGTTACCCCTGATTTCACTCTGCGCACTAAAGACTACGATCAACGGCAACAGTAGCTTTGTTATTTCCCTGGACACAGCACATCTAGCTGAAGATGATACAGTGACACTAGATATATAATGAGAATACCTGCAATTATGAGACGATTAAGTAGGTCTCAAAGAAAACACAAAGCAAAAGAAAGCGTTGAAGACAGACTGACAGACAGAGGGGAAGGGGGACCATTGTGCTGGCTAACCTCACCTTCTGGCCTGGTGGACCAGCAGGTCCGGTGGCTCCTGGGTCTCCACACCTCCCCTAAATGAAACACATAACACACTTGTGAGGGCCTTCTGTTGGTGACACAGATGGGCCTCCCGTGTGTACTCAGGCAGAGTAGCTGCTCGGGTCGACGTACTCCGCTACTTCCCACCACCGGAAACCAGCACAAAGCAGGAAAGATATGATGTCATTTGTTACCGGTCAAATACTCTGCAATGTTTCCCTTTTAAAACCACCATTCTCTTCACAGCTGCTTGAACAGATCTTGAGCTGGTCGGTGCATCGCAGGTTGGAGCTGCTTGTCGGCACAGTTCACCATCAAATGCATGAAAAGGCAGCATTCTGCTTCCCAACCTTTCAGCGATGCACCGTCTGCGCTCCAGGGCTGAAAGTTATGATATCACATCTCTGTTCGGACCATCGGACCAAGTTGCAAATCCCCAAACTACACGACAGTGCAACAACACATGATGGGAGTTCCCCTTGGGTCTGTGGCTACACCCCTGACTTGAGTTCTTTATGGGAAAAGCTTAATTTGAATGTCGAGTCCGATGTATTCTTTGAAGGGGAAAAGGTGACACGTCTCAATGTGAACAGTCTTTGGCAGTGTAGCACTTCTATTTAGAAACAATTTCATTCCAAACGAGTTGCCTCCCTCTCAGCAAAATGCTGTTTTCTCTACGGGAACATCAAGAGAAGTGGGAGGGGGGGTTGCAGCAGCACATTAGCATAAAGACTCATTATAAGGTACGCACCTTGGGACCATCTGGGCCAAACTCTCCGGGCGGCCCCTGAGGCCCCTGGGCTCCCTGGATTCCCTGGACGGAGAGAGATATGGAGGGAGAGGAGGAAAGGGAGGAAGGAAGGAGTGAGAGAGTGAGATGAGAGACCGGCACAGAGCTCTGGGCTGGATGTGGCAGAGTCTGTGATGGCTTAGTCAGAAGGTACTGTGGGGAGATGAGATGCCTTAAGTCCACTCACAATGCACACACACACACTCCCAAACAAACCCATGCACATCCAAAGGCACAATGCTTTCTTCAATATGCAAACCATATTGAAGAAAGCATTGTGCCTTTCCCAGAGGAACCAGATGAATCCACAGTGTCGTAATCGGATTGACTGTGAGGGAAAATAAAAAGTATAATATGAGCTCCAGGTCAATAGCAAGCTAAAGATAACGATGTATATACTCCTCATCGATGAAACGCGATGGCACAACTGTAGAAAACCAACTAACCAACGTTCCACATCTAACATCTTCAGATATTTGTGAGTACGATGTCATGCTCCTCTCGTCAAGGTGTGGAGAACTCACACACTGCATATGAGACGTGGACAGAGAACCGTCAATCCCAATCAGCTGTTTTTGTGTCACAGAAAGAGTATGAAGCAAATGCAGTCTAAAAAAGGCCCAAATCTGTAATGGAGCCATGTTGGGTGTTCATCTACACAGGTTTCCTTCATGCTAATGTGCATGCATTCCCATCCAGTGGTCACTGCACTCTTCATTACACATCTGTGCTGTTTCACTCCCCCCACAAGAGGGCACCGAGCTACAGGCATACTTTCCAGGGACCACATGGAGGCGTCTACTCGCTCTGCTGTGATTGTGTGTGTCCAGGTGTAATCTTGTTTACCAGAGGGGGGGGGCTGACTGTGTGTACAGCTGTAAACCCACACACACTCATCTGACTCTGGCTCTAAATTAACAGCCACTCACCACCTTAATGGCATTGCTAAGTAAATCAAATTGGCTCACATGGTGCCTGGGCTGAATGAATCATCTCATTATGAAGGGAATTGTGCTGCTGGAAGACTAATGGGTGAACAGGGGGCCCCTTACTCACTCATAGGTAACGATTTGTAATATCCCTTTTAACACAAAGACCCCTTAGGATTCAAATGTGGACAAAGTAAGTAATCATTAATAATACTTTTGACAGATTAATAATATCATTTGAAAATGTAAGATCTTAATAACCGGCCCACCTTACAGGTTGACACAGATTTGTCCTGTAACTACCGTACATCTTAAACCTACGTGAACTTCCACTGAAAGGTTGTTTTGACAAGAATGCTTCCAATGCTGAGCAAAGCTGGAAGTGGAGGAGCCCCCGTGGACCACTGAGAACGTGTTCCCTGACAAACGAGCACAATCCTCTAGTGCAGTAAGGTGGGGAGTGATTCCTGCAGGAATCGCGTTGGCTATGAACAAGGGTCAATACTAGGAAAGGCCAGCGCATTGTTTCAGCATGTTGAGAAAAGAGGGATGATGCTGTTGAACCAACCAGCGCCCCGTTTGTTCCAGGTCGTCCTCTTGGACCCGGCACGCCGCCCGCGCCCTGAAAAGGCATCGAAGGGAAACAATCCATTAAAGCTTCAAGACAATTCTAACAAGTCTTTTCGAGTCCTACTGTACCTGAAGTCCCTCTGGGCCCTTTTCACCAGGAGAACCCTGGACACCCTGTGGACGACACAGTAAAGGTGTGAATACATACATGAGGTCTCCATCTTTCCAACTAGTGGATGTATTATGTATCCTCATCCTTAATCATTTGGAACATTTGTCATTCACGTCAAGACGCTGGTTAATATAATGAATTGGATTGAGGTGCATAGCTCCTGTCTTCAGGCCTTCAGTGATGTTCCACACAGTCCTGCCTCAATGCGTCCACCTCCTAATACCTTCATCATGACGCCACGGTTGCAGAAACTTCTCATTTAGACAACAATGCACTATAACTGACCGCACTGTTGATTCTGACGGCCTCGGGCACATCTCTTGGACCAAATGACGGCTGAAATGTGATTGGATAAAAGCTCTAACGTAAAGGCCGGCGCTGACAGGCCGACACTCCTCAAAGCTCACCATGGAATGTCTCATCGTCCATGTGCAGACCAGAAGACGAGGGCCGGCCTTGTCCGTCGTGTGTCTTAGTGTGTGCACGTGTGTGTTTGTGTGTGCGTGGGCAGGCTAGCAGTGGCTTTACTAGGACACAGAGATGTGTAAAAGCACCAATGAAATGGGAGCTCTCTCTTATGTCGTTAAAAAGCAGTAGCTTGTAATATGGACAGAACGCTGAGTCAGAATTCTTCTGTTTCTAAGCCGTCTGCATTCATCAGCAGCTGTAACGGATCTTTGTCCTCCTTCCCCTCTTGTGACAAGTGCATTCTGACTTGAACATAACTTAAATATCCCTCAACTGCACCATTTAACTCTTGACATGCATCACATGATCACATTTTAGTCACTCATTGCATCCAGCCTTCTGTAGGACATCAAGTCCACATCAACTCACCGGGGCGCCTTGAGCTCCAGCAGCACCCTGCACTCCCTGAAGACACAACAGACACGTGAGTATTTCTCCCCTTACAGGCGGTTTGCCATGTGATCATCATCGCTCATTCACATGTTCCTGTGGAAAACACGACTGAGAAGATAAAATGTGAAATAATTCACACGTATTTATAGAATTCATCAAACTGTAAAGACAATGCAAATGATTGATTCCGTCTTGTGTGATTCAATAGTTATTGTTATTTCACATGTGAAATACGACAACCCTTTTGTCCAGACATTAGCTCATCAAAGAATGACATACTTAAATAAACACTATATACAGAATTATATATCCATATAAAAGTTGTCCTATCTGTTGCACTGCAGGGCCTCGGATCGGTGCAAATTAGTTTACTACTTTTGCTCGAGTGTAGAACTTCCCTCTCATCTCAGCTACTTCACACAAAGGGAACCGTCGTGAACTTGTGTTACTGTTTGGGGGTTTAACGCACACGTTGTGTGGTGAGGAGATCTTGTGAGGCGGGAGCTTGTTAAAACAAAAATGAACAGCAGCAAATAAACTCATTTTTAGACAAACAGACACAACAAAGCACGCAATAAAGTTTTAACCATCCTCGAGATCGCAAAGCCCTCTACACTGTTTGCAACATCCACTTGTTCCAGCGGGGGCCACGCTAACATGCTAACACGCTAACACACGCCCGCTGGCAACGGACACGTGAAACTAGCTGTAAAATATATTCTGGAACTGCAAACCTTTCATTTGTTAGTTTTAGTGTCCCAACATTCACACCACTTCGTACTTCCGTGGTATAAAAAACTTCCTTCGTTGACACCATATTGTTGAGGACTGTGGGAGCGTCGCGATGGAGCGAGCACTGCGTCAGTACATGGACTGGACATGGATCGCCCACACTCTATTCCAGGGGTGGCCAACCACCGGGTCGCGGACCGGTACCGGACCGCAGCACTGAAAGAATACTTTAGTATTTCTGTATGAGAACTGACTAGATTCTCTTCGCTTCCGTGCGCTTGTCCCTCTTGACATATTTGCCAAGCGTCACCAAGCGTTTTCCCACCTTATACATTTACCCGCTACTCGCTGCACGCGGCGGCTCCGCCCACCAGCGGACAGAACGCGCTTGAAGCTGAGTTAGGTTGAGGAAAAATGTGCTCTATAAATAAGAATAACTGTAGCGCTGGTTCAGTTCTCTGCGGCGCTTTAAGTACGTCACCATGAGGTTGAAGGCAGTTTCTGTTTGCTTCACTCTCTGCAGACACAGAACGTACCACAACTGATTGAGTCTGTTTACCTCTGAAGTGTCTCGCCGCACTACGTACACAAAGCCATACGGGCCACATATACCATAGTTACACAAGCCCACCACGGCCCAATAAATGAGCAGATGACACACTGGTGGACGACTGGACAAGAGGAAATAGAGAAGCAGCAGGCGAGCTGACTGACCTGTGAGCAGCCTACGCTGCTGCTTGGGCCTGGTAGAGCCTGAGGAGACTCAGAGCCTCACTAACTAGAATGGGGACGTAGGAGACCGACAGTTGGCACAACCAATTTAATAAGAAAAACCCATTTTATATCAAACTCAAGCTTGGTCACCGGGCAGAGACGGAACAGGAGACATTATTAAGTATCTTCATCCACGAGGAAGAGATTCAAAGGACAAAGAGACAGAGAAACCCTCAAGTTGATGTGATTTGGCCATCTGATGAGAATGCAGGCAGATACAATGCCCATCATAATTTAAAAAAAAGACAACCATGGTTAAAGGGTTGGTTTGTGTGTCAAATTACAACTGTCCACCAAAAACAAATTCCCTCCAAAAACTGTGGGAAAGGCGCCAGTAGGCAGCGCAATCCTGAATGAAATGATGGCAGGAGAGGAAAAGGGGACGAGACAGTCAGCAAGAAGTATGTGAATATGTGAAAAAAACAGTGAACTTTGTTTGTTTGGTGTGTTGGGAGAAGCTAACAAACAGTGTTGTGGTCCCAAGTAAGCTTAAAGGTTCCCTCCAAAGCAAACACGCTCATTTACCAACAGGAACTATTGGGCCCCCGGCGTGAACAGACTGAGAGACGGGTAACTGTCACGAGAGAGCTCTCAAAGCTAGCTACGTAGTAGCTGACCCGCCCACGGTGGCAGACGCTGCTACTGGCTGCCTGCAGAGCCATGGTGAACCAGATGCTCGGCCCCCAGTAGATGAAGTTGCTCTCCACGTGTTATGCATGCCGACATGGGAAGCATCGTTTTTAATATAAAAATCCGTTCCGACAAACATTTTGCTGAGAAAAGAAAAATAAAGAAGCTTAAGACAAGCGCCTGTTAACTCTGACCTCAAATGACGTCACCACCACAGACAGCATGTCTGTAAACTGTCATTATGAATAGCCCCTCCTGTGTGTTTGGGGGGTCTAGAAGGTTCTTCATCTGCCTGCTTTGTGTGAGTTGTCTTTGGAAGCCTCTGTGTTGCACGTCTTGTTAGTACTTGAGTAAAACAGCACCGGCAACGTCTCCATGATTAATCACCTCATCAAATAGCTTACTGAGTAATGACAGGAGGGATTCCCAGAATAACAATTTAAACGTGTATATTGTGTACATTGTTATTCTGGGAATCCTCTTTGTGGTATCGAGGATTCTTAAAGTAAAGGTCTGTTTATCTGCTGCCCAAAGTGTTGAGTGCACATTGAAGAGTACCTTAAATTCAAGGTGAAGTCATATTATTATTATTATCATATTATTTGTAGTCAGAAATAATCTCAACGTGATTTCTAAATGTATCACTTTCTTCATTTTAAAAAAGAAAGACTTAGTTACACCACTTATGCTCCAGTTTGTCTTGAAAAACGAACTTGTACCGATGGGTTTGAATGCGAGCGTCAAGGCTTGCTTTGTTAAAATAATAATCCCAGAAAGTTGGAAAAGTTTGGAGACAGAACACATCCTTTAGTATTTGTATTTATTTAACTACATCTGTAATCCAGCAGCTGGAGAAGCTGGAACCTGGACATGAATTTAGGAAGTTACTCTGAATTTATATTAAATTAAACCCAAAAGGCTTCCCTCTGATTTGTACAACGTTCCCATTTGATCAGTAAAACATCTTTTACAAAGTCGTCTTACAGGCAACAGTTAAACTACTAGTAATTATAGGGAAGCAATGTGTGATATAAAGTATTTTAATCTCCCTGTGACGTGGAAACCAAACATGGCTGCATCTGAAAATCTATAAATGTGGGTGCAGGAAAATCAGTGCCTGATAATAAGAGGCTGACACCAAGCTGATTATTTTTAATTTGTTTGACTTGAGTGTGAAACATCAAATCCAACAGTGGAGCTTGAACGCTAATGTGAATGAAAGAGAGCAGTGTTACATGGGGGGCTGTTTGGGATTAAAGAGCAAGCTGAAAGCCTCAAGGCTTCTGTAGGGCTCATTAACATTCAATGGAGCTGTCATGGATGGGTGGACAGAAATGATTTACAGTCAATGGAGACCTCAGGCGGAGACCACATTGTGTGCTCATTTAGTGCAGCAGATAACATCTGCTTTTGACTCCCTTGCTGTGAAGTTCTATTCCTGTCCGTTCTATGGTAACTGGCAAAATGCTGCATGGTGGTCCAAATGCCGTTTCAAACAATCTGCCTTGAAAAAATCCCCCGTGCGATAGTTGTCATTAAAGCAGGTAAACTCCCAGAAACAATACAGAGGACATGACTTCCGTGTTTGCTGGTCCTGACCTGAGGCTTTCACAGGCGTCATGGGGAAGGAAATCCAGTGGACCCTGATTACGTTCCCAGTTCCCCAAATGGTGTCTTAGTGGCACCATTTAGACGTCATGGTCCAGGACCCTGGAGGGGAAACACTTCCTGGCCCCTATGGACGTAAAGCAGCACACATGACCACCTGCTGTTAAGTGAACTAAGTGTGATGGCAGCTCCGATCCCTGAGAAAGAGCGTGTTTGCTTCTAAAAAGTAGCAGCGCAGTGAATACTGAGAGCAGGTGTACAACTCTGAGCCTGATCACCGACCAACGGGTCGACCTGACAAACACTACACAGCAGTGGAAGTCGTCAGCAGCAGCACAAAGCTCAGCATGTCGATGTTTGGTCGAGTTGTCTGGGTTTCTGCTTTGTCAAATACTCCACATTGACTTACTGTCACCAGCTGAGGAGGAGTCTGGTGTCTGGGCAGAATCAAAAGGTTGGTACGACTGTGACGCTCTCAGCTCCCCTGTGGTGTAAGCATGGTCACAGGTCTCCAAGACAAATATTAGAGAGTAGCTAACATGTGCACCTAAAGTCCTTCATGTTTGCTGATCGGTGTGGAGAATTTGGTTTATGACAATGAGATCCTTAATGCCATACGTCTGGCTCTGTGTCGTATCAGCAGAAGCACCAGTAGAATGTTCAATGACCGCTTGGGCTGCAGGAAGGAGGGATGTGTGCTGGTTGGTCTAGTGGCCTCATGTCAGGTCTAGATTGCTCCATGAATGTGTGAGAAGTGAATCATTACCATCCCATGTATTGAATGTTGCAGTCTGAAGGCCCAAACAATATTGTCAATGCAAACCCTCCCCCTTAGTTTCCTCCGAGGACCGGAGGAGACTCCGTCATGTGGACTTCCTTTTTGTGACGGATAACAGAAATGCTTACTGCCGTTTTAAGTGTTGAACCACGATGTTTTTACAAAGCATGACCGGATCAACGTTCCCTTAGTGTTAATCAGGATGGTACATGGTAAATGGACATTACTTGTACGGCGCTTTTCTAGTCTCCAACCACTCAAAGCGCTTTAACACCATGACATCATTCACCCACAGCTTTACTGTTCCGGTTCACTCGTATCTAATCAGACCTGTTCCCAGCAGCAGCAGGCAGCTGTTTTCATGGATATGAAGCGGAGGAGAGGGAGACTACCCACCAAGCAGCATGCCGATACACTTTGAGATTAGATGCTGAACATGGTGGAGTATTTAGCAGCTAAAGAGCCGGATGATAAACAACACGACTGTTGCTCTACACTGACACACACCTCTCCTGTGGCTCCATAACGCTAACTCTCTCAGAGGGTCATAAATGGGCTTCTAGCTGCTGTCAAAACGTAACCAGCAAAGAGACAGAGAGTGAGACAGCTACTTATGGTACACACACACACACACACACAGGTCCTGCAGACATCACAACAGCTGACATGTTTCATTTCAAGCAGGACTTATTCTGATACTCATTTAGAGCAGATCTAGGTAAGGGGGTAGACCTTCAATATCTCACTGAATGGACTCTACTTCTGTTTTGGAGTATTCCAACGGCTCAAAGTACTTCATGTTGTCCACCAGCCGTTCACACAGAGATGACAGGAGCTGCCATACGTGTACCTGCCCATTTATACCCATTCACACACACAGGGAAGCCTGCAGTAAACGTGTGGGGTTAAATGTCTGGACCGAGGAAACATCCACATGGATCAGGAGGATCAAACCACCGGTGGAAGGACAGGTGTCAGTTGGGTGTCGTTGTGTTACTGTACTAAAATTTTATAGATGTGTTGAGTTTAAAAAGAATAAACAATACTGACACCCTTTTGTTTTCCCCAAATTGTGGGGAGTGATTGAATGAACACAGAGAAGCCAGTCATCGTACCCCCACCTCCACATGCACACACATGGGCTCCAACCGTGGGCCACCATCCTCCAGTTGGTGCAGAGCACATTTGTGGGAGAAAGAAGCTTATTTTGATAACAAATTACTGAGCAGGCGAGTACAACTGGTGGAACACTCAAAGGAGTTCAGGGAAATCTGAAAATAGCATCGCACACTTGGAGCTGGTGGGCGTGTCCACATGTTTGCACATGTGTGCATGGGCTCTTTCATCAAGCCACTGGTCCTTTTCCAGTTACTTTACCACACATCCCACCCACAATGTGAATGTGGCGTGTGCTCCTGCACTGGTGACACAAGGGGAGCGTTTTCTCCCAGTTATTGTTTCACGCATCCACATTGAGTTTAGTAAGTTTGGATCTGAAAAAATCGGATCCAAACCACATGTGGGGGTGGTTTGAAATGCTTTCCAATCCGATTTCTACACATCCCTTTTCCTCCCGATGCTATGGATGCTCAGATTACATTTTTAAAGTGCGGCCGTTCTGAGCAGAGCACTAACGGAAGCTGAAATAAATCATCTGCTGCCACTTTCTGTTTGTAAAGCTCAGCCTACATTTTACCACAGCAACTCATCAGATGAATGATTTCTGGAACTATAAATAAAATCTGATCACTCGCAAATAACAGTGTGGACGGTCTCTCTTAAAGCTCTGAATCGAGGAATGAATGGAATTTATCTGCAATTTGAATTTAGCATTTGTCTGTTTGATAATCTCTTTGTTTGCGTGGGAAAAGATTATTTGTGTCCTTCCTCACACAAAAAGCTCCCTTTTCATTTGTAGAACCCGGTGTTAAAAAATAAAGTACAGAGGTTTGATAACCTATAGAAACTGGAGCCCAAATGGGGGATGCCAGTGCATCATTAGCACCATTAGCACTCATCCCCGAGTGTGGCTAAAGATACGCTTGGAAGGCTACACTCTAGACAAAGTCCGAAGTATCACCTTCTAACCAACCAATGGTTCCAACACTGACTGGGCTGCACCATCACAGCTGGCTCCCTTCGCTCTCCACCTAAGAGTAAACCCTGGAATGGGAGCCCTCATGTGATGATTAAACATGGAGGAGACGTCTGGTTGGATGTAGATAATTCCCTGTTGGAAAACATGCATTTGTAGGGAGACAGAGTTTCACACAAGACGAGCCGTTTGCAACTGCAATATGCAATTCGCTCGAGGCAGCTCATTGCGCTGGCTCTCTAGCCGGTGGAAAAGCAAACCGGTTCTTTGGAGGCTCGTCAGTTGTCAACCAACCCCGAACCGGCTCTAGCTCTGGCTCCGAACCAGCGCCTGGTTCTTGTTGGTGGAAAAGGGACAGACGCTCTTTGGACTGAATGGGAGCCAATCGCTGCCTCCAGGTGTCAACATCTGGTGTAAGGTTTTCCCCAAAAAGCCTGTAGCAGCACACAGTAGTAATGCCAAAGGTTCTAAACCATCAATGAGTGTAATGTCTTTACTTTTTAATTCCAACACACTGATCTGTCTCCACAGTAGGAGCAGCCTGCACTGACCTTTGGTCCTGGGTGCCCAGCAGGTCCAGCGGTGCCTGTTAATCCCGGCTCCCCCTGTGTGGATGATCAGCACACTCTGAGAGCAGTGGCAGCCAAATTCAACACTATTACTGTCCCGTCCATGTAGACAAAGGACAACACACACACAGAGAAGAGCGCCTTCATTCTCAGCTAAAGGTGGACTTTACTTCACTTTATCTTTACACGGAAATAGTTAAATGAATAGATCTTACCATTGGTCCAGCTTCTCCTGCTGGTCCTTGTTCCCCTCTCTCGCCCTGTAAATAAATGATGATGACATTAGGTCCTGACGTTCAATAAATTCACAGTGTGTATCTATCAGTGGTCTTTGTCCTTTTTTGTATTCTTTTGAGAACTTCTCCAGCACTGAGGCGTTTTTGGCCTCTGCGCAGAGTCCACACACTAAGACTCCCATATCTCTGCATAACTACCAGTATGGCACACAGAAAACAAGTAAAATAAGTATTTGCATGGGCTGTATCCCTTAAAAGGACCTTGGCTAATCCTTTGTGATAGCACAGTATCGGTGTAGAGGTTTTACTGTGAGTCAAGCAGAACAAATCTAGAGAGGCTTAGTGGAGGCGTCACAGGAGAGTCGTTGCAGACGAGTGAAGTGCAGTTTTTCCACATCTGAACGAATCATGAGCCGATGTTCAAGTCCAGCCCCTTGTTGTAACCGACAGCCAATGGAATCAGGGCAGACACATGTGGGGAAGAGTGACAGCTTCCTCAGCCAGTGCAGAGCGACAGATGACGTTTCACGCTCAAGTGTGAAAGTTCCCCCCCGACCATGAAGTCATTTGAAAAATCCCTGGAATAATACATTTCTGTCTTGGAAAATGGAAAAGTAAAGGAGCATTTATGATGACACGCAGTCATGTGATTCGGCGGCTTGGTGTTTGTTTCCCCATAACTGGGAAGCTTTGTCTCAAATATCATCGTAATCAGGGTGGAATGCACTTGCTGTTTGGCGTCTCAGTTCCTCTGTTAGCATCTAGCTTTCCATCGACGGGTCCACAAGTGTACAGTTTGTCCAGTTTGGGTGAAGTTTGCGTTTGATATTAACTATTGATTGTTTGCCTTTGTAGCCCAGGCTTTAAGCTTGTCACATTATTATATTTATTCATGATGAGCCCCTCTAATCTGATCCGACATCTGAAAGTTCAAACCGTGTCCCCAAATTTGGGTCTGTGGGGTAAAACACGGGGTCTCATAATGTTGCAAACACACAACAGGGGCAAACAGTTGTGATCCATAAAACCTTGATGAGAGAATGTGTGCAACTGCATGGAGACTTCAACGCACGTGAGACATTTGTGCACTTTCACCCGTTCTAGCAGTTTTTATGCTGTACATTTATAAAAGGTTTCTTCAACCAGAATCATTTGGCAAACCCACATCTCTTCATTTGAACACAACCAATATTGTTAATCCTTCGCACAGTTTTACAAATGAGCCCTCAGGACACGGAGACATCCTGCAAACCCTGAAACGTTTCCGTATTAGAGGTGGCAAATCGATCAATCGATTAATCGATCAACAGCAAAGTGGATTCCGTTTGTTTTCATCTATTACTCATCTATTGCACCGGTAACATCCAATCACAACACTAATCAGGTTGAATGCAACATTTGGCTTTTGTATGTACAAATTCATTATGAATATTTAACTAGATTGCCACGTGAGATTAACATGAAACTTCTGCATTTTGGCTTTTTTATAGTAATCTGGCCTCATATGTTGAAACAATAAAGGAAATCATCAGGACACTTGGAGCGAGGTGAGATGCCAGACGAGGCTTGATGTCTTACGAATACAAATCCCTTTATCTTTCTGATGATCATAGTGAGTGCTCTGCACGTTGAAATAACTCTGTTGATTGAAGCAGTAGTTCAAGGCGAAAATGGTCCCTCTGCCCCTGTGAGTAGTGTCCTTCATTTGGGAACATATTAGGTTTGGTAGCAACAAACAGGTTCATTTCCACTGTTACATACATTCATACATTGCATATTAATAAAACATGAATATGCACAATGTTTGACATCCAAGAAGATTGACAGGAAACACGGCCACCTGCGGCTGGCCGGAGACACCTGAAGTCCGTTATTATTCTGGTTAGCACAACATCTGATCAGTTTCTGTCTCAACTGGTATTAAGGGAGTCCCACCTTGGGTCCCGGGGGTCCTGGGTCTCCTGATAAGCCTGGTTCCCCTCGCTCTCCCTGGGCAGTAGCAGCAGACTCAGTTATTATCAGTACTGGCAGCAGGTTAGAAAAGCCACGACACTGAAACAAGTGTTTCTTTAAAGATCTACCTTGATGCCTTCTAGACCAGGCTCCCCTCTTGGTCCTGCTGGACCACCTTCTCCCTGTCAGAGGCATGACAGTAAGTAAGAGCATGTAGTCAAAGTCATTTTAGAAGTACGTTATGAAATCCATTCAGCATTTTATTCCATAGCTCTGCATTAATAACGGTCAAGTGCAATGGCCCCATACAAGTAGTGAACTTTGAACAGGGCGAAACCTGGAGATGTTGTTATCATGACCTGAGAGATATCCGGGGTTATCCATCCCCTGATGCTAAAACTCATGGTTTGGAACTCACGAATCAGATCAGCACAAAAGAGAAAGCATAGTAAAGTTTACTTTCACGTTGTTTTGCACTAATTCTAGTTGCAGATCAATGATAGTGACTAATAAAACTAGTTTGGGTGGAACAAGAAAGGTGGACAAACTGATAGATAACGGATCTATATGTAGAATAACACCACGTGGAAGCAACTTAACAGGGAGAGGTGAGCACATTCAGACACTTTGTCCATTATGAAAGGCAGTAAGTAGATATTGAGACTTGCTTTGTGGTACCTTGAAGATGTTGTAATAGAAGCTACTTCTTACCTTCATTCCTGGTGATCCAGAAGCACCAGACTCCCCAGGTTTCCCGTCATAACCCTGGTGAGAGTTACAACATAAGCTGATAATATCATTTGCATACAAATTGTATCCTGAAAATGATCTGCAGCAAGAAGACAGGGTAAAAACAAAGTGGGAAAAGGGGGACACACTTACAGGCGCACCATCAGGCCCTGGTGGTCCATCCCTCCCTGTCTCCCCTCTGACACCCTGAGACAAAAATGACATACTTTGAGGTAGGCAGTGTTGATCTCCGGGTCTCTCACATTTTGGAGTGTCTTAAAATGATCTTTAAAATGAATGGAGGCGAAAACGTTTGTGATTCCCTGACTTTTCATTTTTGTAAATGGTGAATTGGCTTCACTTGAGTAGCGCTTTTCTAATCTTCCAACCAAACTGTGATTTTACACTATGTGTCATCATTTACCCTGTAACTAACCCAGTTTGTGAGTATTGATGAATGTTTTGCCTTTATTACATATTGGGTTGATTTTGTTGTGCATTTCCTGTTCAGAGTTTGATGCTTTTATTTTGATGGCAGGGCTTGGGTAAAAAACTAGAAGTCAACGGTGGACAAAAGACCGCGAAAGGAAAAGGAACGAATGGTGATCAGTTAACGGGCGGTATTAGTGCCCCCCCTCCCCCCAAAAGGCAAAAGCTGTTAAGGTTGTTTGGGTGATTTATTCATTTAAATCACCCAATCAAGCAGTAAAGCGTCAGACCACCTGTCGGGAGAGATATGCAACACAGCCATTCATAGGCATACAGAAGCACACAGAGCCACCTGCCCAACAGCAACCAACATTCACCCATTCATACACCGTAGTCACAGGAGCAACATCTGTCCGTCCCGGGAGAGGGATCCTCCTCTGACGTTCTCCATAAGGTCTCCTCCCTTTGTTCCCCATGGAAGGGTTTCTCACTTTTGGGGAGTTTTTCCTGGCCGATGTGAGGGTTTTGGGACAGAGGATGTCCCAAACAACCGTGCTCTCCACTGAGGAGACCAGACAAACCATGGCCCGTTGGGCTTTTTAATCCGGCCCGTCACATATTGATACAAAATTGTCCAAATGATAGTAGACCGCATTCATGTTTTAACACTATCATCCCGTCTCTGCTGCAGGACAAACTCTCCCAGCTGCACGTGCCCAACTCCACCTGCAAGTGGATCACAGACTTCCTGTCTGACAGGAAGCAGCACGTGAAGCTGGGGAAACATGTCTCAGCCTCTCGGACCATCAGCACCGGTTCCCCCCAAGGCTGCGTTCTTTCTCCTCTGCTCTTCTCCCTGTACACCAACAGCTGCACCTCCAGTCATCAGTCCGTCAAGCTCCTGAAGTTTGCGGATGACACCACCCTCATTGGACTAATCTCTGGTGGGGACGAGTCCGCCTACGGGTGGGAGTCTGACCATCTGGTGTCGTGGTGCAGCCAGAACAACCTGGAGCTCAACGCTCTAAAGACAGTGGAGATGGTTGTGGATTTCAGGAGGAACAGAGCCCCACCCTCCCCCATCACCCTGTGTGACTCCCCCGTCACTATTGTGGATTCCTTCCGTTTCCTGGGCTCCATCATCACCCAGGACCTCAAGTGGGAGCTGAACATCAGCTCCATCACCAAGAAGGCTCAGCAGAGGTTGTTCTTCCTGAGGCAGCTGAAGAAACTCAACCTGCCAAAGACGATGATGGTCCACTTCTACACGGCCATCATCGAGTCCATCCTCTGCTCCTCCATCACCGTCTGGTACGCTGCAGCCACAGCCACGGACAAGGGCAGGCTTCAGCGTGTCATCCGCTCTGCAGAGAGGGTGATCGGTTGCAATCTGCCGTCCCTGGAGGACTTGTTCGCTTCCAGGTCTCTGAAGCGAGCTAAAAAGATCGCGGCCGACCCCTCCCACCCCGGACAAACTGTTTGTGCCCCTTCCATCTGGCAGGAGGCTGAGGTCCATCAGGACTACGACCTCCCGCCACACGAACAGTTTCTTCCCGTCGGCAGTCGGGCTCATCAACAGAGCCCGGTCCCCCACTGCCTGACTATAACACTCCACCGGTCACTCCCCCTCACACTGCACATGCCACTTTAACTGCAATTCATCACTTTGTCACTTTTTACTTTGTCTCTTGTCTGTTACTTGTTTGTTAGTGCACTTTATGCTTAATATTTTTCAACTTTTTAATATTTAAAATTTGTTTAACTTTATTCCCCTGTTTTATACTAACCCATAGCCTTAGCCTTATTCTTACTAACCCATTGCATTAGCATTTCATTCCACTTTATTTTATTACCTGTGCACTGTTGTCTTGTCTGTCTACTGTCGCGCACTAACCGCCAAGACAAATTCCTTGTATGTTTGACATATTTTGAACTATTCTATTCAAGAACCAAGGCACGTCCTTTACTACAAGTCTAATTAGCAAAAGCCAGCAAGGGGAGTTTTTGAGTTTTTGAAAGGATGCATGGAGAGACAGCAGGTCTCTTGTGTCCAGAGAGCAGCAGGACAGTGACTCACCGTGTCCGCCGTCATCGAGAGGCTGAACCTCGGTGCACACTTCACCACTGATGGATCGCCAAACTTAACAGGAAAAAACACTGGGCTGCTGAAGTGAATCCAGGATAAAAGCAAGGGGAAAACCCTGAGCTGGATGTGCTTTTACTACACCAGGAAGTTCTGTCTGCACTGCAGCTTGACCGCGTGGTGGTCAAACTCATGTCGGCGAGTGTGGGAGCTCAAAGGGGAGATTTTTTAGTAGTTAAACGGGAAAGCTGAGGATTCTCCACGGCTGAGCGATGCCCTTTGGCTTTGTGATTTTAAGTTTGCTGTGGACATACTGACACACATGCATGAACTGAAGGTGAAGCTACAGGAGAAAAAAGATCAACTTTATTCTCAAGAAAAATTTAAACAAACGATCAACACAGAAGATTCTGTGTTTGGCTGTGAGCAGACGTTTAGCGTGATCAATACCTCAGATCTGCCCTCAGAATTGCCACAAGCAAACACACCAAACGTTGACGCTCTGGCAGAAAAGGGTGACCAGCTACACTGCTCCCACTGAAATTAAGAGTACGTTACCTTATACGTTTTAAATAATCGCTTTTACTTCTAATTCATATTTGTTCACACACACACACTCTCAATCCATCAGCTACTGGCCCGACCCGTCTGTCAAACTTGAAAATGTTGTCTCACCCCTGCTGTAGCCCCTCCTTGCAGGGAGATGTGTTTGGGTCACGTGATTTGGAGCCATGCACAGAAACTCTGTTACTACTGCTTGTGCTCATGCAGCGAATCAGCAGCTCTGCATACTCCGCCGTCTCGGACTCACTGGGTGGTGCCCTTGGTCCTCTATGGTTCTGTTTGGCGAACCATTGAGAAACTGACCTAGAGTGAGATTATTGGGACTGCCTTCCTAATCTTACCCCAAATGGTGCTTTGCTGTTGGACATCAGCGCTAGTCGTGCATCGGCCACAACAAATGCCAAACTCTTAGTAGATTCACTTTTTGTTATTGAGTACACATAGTTTTGGTTATTTGGACGACTAATTAAATGGGTTATATCCAGTTATAGGACCAGCATGCACCTAGGTGACGTATAGTTTTTACCAGCATAGGAGAGCAGCCACAGCGTATGAGAGCAGGTTAGGAAAGCCAGCCAGAGTTTATGTGTTTGTTGGCTTGTTTTGTAAGCAAAATGAATACGGAACCAAAGGAAAGTCTGCTCTGACAATCCGCTCTCCTGCTGCGTCAAAGAAACTAACCAGTGGTACATCAGTGGCCCTTTGACACAAATGTTCATTCATCCCAAGGACAAATGGCATACTACACATGCCTTGCATGGTATCTATAGTCATGAGCATCCGGTAGTGATGAATGTGATCAATGTTATAAGCTGGCAGAATTAGCTTCATTTGTGGGATGGTTGGACTTAGAGAGAGGTCAAAGAGCTCAGACGTCTGAAGGGAAGTCAGAGTGCAGCCACTGCTGCTTCACCTTGAAACGCCTCCTTTTTGACTTTTTACGGGCAAGTCCAACTGGTAAGATGCCCGAGGTGGGCCGAGAACATACTGGAGGAACTACGTATCTGGTCAAGACGCAGCAACTTAGAGATCCCCAGAAGAGCTGTAAAGTGTTGCAGAGGTGAGCGGCATGTGGCATAGTCTCCTCGACCTGCCTACATGATGACCTCTGACCTGGATGAGCAGATAAATATTTCTATCTAAAAGCTGCTAATACAATTAATATCACTTGATTACGCTAAATTGTTAAAATGGATGGTGTGTTTCAGTACTTCATATTTAAGGAACTCACCATAAAGTACACCAGGAGATTCCAAATACCTCTCTGGGTAAACATTAGAAGTGCGTCACTCACTGCAACTAGATGTCCTTAGAGGCCATTGGAGGACAGAAGTTGAGGTTGGGAAAAGTACTTTTCTGCTATGAAGCAGCATGTTTTCTAGTTTCCAGTGTTCCATTTGAGGATCTGTCTTCCTCTCCATATACTGTACATCAGTGCATTCCACTTTGTACATTAACACTAGTGGTTATGATAACCTCCATTTGAATGATGCAGCATTGACTCCAATAGGAGCGGATGTATTATTGCCACAAAAGAAATGTGTGCACGTTGTGCAAGAACTGCATTCCGTTCCCTCATTTTAAGAGTTATTTTTTTTCTGAATATTCTAATAACAAAGTAACAATAGCTGTGGTTGTATCAGGACTGTCCTTTACCTCCTTCAGGTGACGTGTGGGTGCACGAGTACACGAGTGAGGACGTGTGCGCACGTCTTACCATGGGACCGGGCGCCCCACGCTGCCCTTGTAGTCCAACCACACAGTTGCAGTCTTCTTCGTCCGCGGTGGCTGTTCGATTCAGAGGACACTGAGGAGACACAGTCCAAGCTTCGTCGTGAGGACAATAAAGCATCAGGAGGACACCAACAGTAAGACTTATGGAGTCATTTCCACTCTGCACTCACCTTTGCGTCACACGATCAGAAAAACAGTGTTGTTGTTGTTTTGTTTAGATGTATTATATTAGGATTTATTTGTTGATATAAGAACTAGTCCAGGTCGACAGTTACAATTTTCTTAATCGTGGTTTATTGCATTTTTATGCACAAAATTCAAATGAATTCAAAAGTAGTGCACTTTTGTTTAAAAAGTACTACTTTATGAACAAAAGTTGAAATTAATAGAATAATTTGGTTTTAAACAACAGTATTACTTTTACACTGTAGCAGCTTAAATATTTATTGTACATCCCAATTGAAACATTAATGCAATCAAATCAAATATAAAACCCGCATCAATACTGATTGCCGTGGGTGACACCCAGCCTTCATAAAAAAACATTCATATTCCTCCCCGTATCATTATTAATGAACTCTTCTCATTTTCTTTATCCAGCATGTCAGTAATTCGCAGAAGAAGAATAGAGGACCGACACTGCACTTACCCTTTCATCGTCCTGTGTAGCATGAGACAGAGGACAAGAGAAAAAGGTGATTCTCATTATCATCATTGTAGCCTCTCACACGCAGATACATGCAAAAGTACACAATGTGACCTTTACAGGGCAGATTACAGTGGATAAGAACACATTCATCTCTTGATCTGTGGCGCTCTGGTTCCCCTCCAGCAGGATACAGGGACAGCTCGTCACTGTCCACTCCTTAGCTGGTCTCACTTCAGCGGCTGCGTCCTCATGAGGACCGAGCAGTCACCGAAGATCACCTTCTCTATCTGCATGTTATACATTTTTGTTATGAGGCTTTTTCTGTCAAGGCAACGGGGGCAGTGGAGGTAAAGTCCCCCCTCAGGACAGACCGTCCCGTTTCAGGGACCGCTCTGTTCGGCCTATGCGGCCGTTGGAGGACCAGACCAGGTCTACCGTGAAGGCTGGGAAAAACGTCCTTCTTCACAGGACATTCGGTTATGGCGTCATGGAAGGACAAATGCTTTTGGTGGACGTGAACTTGACTGACTAATGAGCCACGAGGGTCACATGACTTCCATCAGTCACGACTGTGATACAGCTATGTGCTGTGTGGACCGTGGGGCTCTGGATTGGACGCCGGCAGGTGGGTGAGGACCGCTGCAAGGCCGTGTGCTGCACACCGAGGGGCCTACATGTGGTGGGAGGTGATAGTTGTCTCACCACAGAGTAGATCTCACACGCCGTTTCTCTCTCGCTCTGATGAGGGTCACAGTACAGACGAAGCTTCTGAATCTCCACCTGAATAAAAAGACAAGTGGTCAGAAAAATGGAAATGTTGTTTGGGTAAGAAGTGGTGGATTATTAATGAAATGAATTCATTATTATGAGAGCCAAAAAGATGAGCTACAGAAGGACAAATAAGAGATTTCACCTATTTCATCACAGACTAGTCAGTTATTCACTTTGTATAATATTATCTAATTTCCTCAGTTTAAATGTTGCTTGATACACCTGAATCCGTCCCTCTGATTGACTCCTCCGTGAGTCAGAGACACGTGTCCCCTGCCATTTGAGTCAAAACGTTGGCTCGTTTGTACTCACGGCCACAGGGAGGTCGGTTCCCCGTCTCTTAGCAACCTGGGTCTCCCCATTGATGTAGATGGGCTCCACCGGTTCCAGCAGTTCTTCCTGGATCAGCAGATCGTCCAGGAAACTGCTGACCTGACGTTGTCTCACCAGGACTTTGAGCTGATGCCACTTTCCGTCATAAAGAGTCTGAGATGAGGCACAGATATTTCATAAATACATTATTTCTTAAGGTCCTCTCAAGTACAAAAAATCCTTAACTGAGTAACGGAGTCATTTCATCTGAAGACTGAAAGGAGCTGAGACATAATATGCTGGGATACCTGGCTTAGCAAGACCCTTCAAAATCATACGCGCTACGTCCAAAATACTGTGTACATTTTGAAGTAATACATTAGAATAATTTGAGTGATTTAGACGATCAGGTTTGATTCATACATCAAACAGACCGTATAATACAGCACGACTCATAATACATACTGATTGAAGGATCCTACCACAATGCTGCCACAGTGTTTGGGCTTTCCTCTTTTAGTTCCTATTTCCCTGCCTTGTGTTCCTGGCTTAACTTCCCCTGCTGGAGGAACTGTAGCTTTCTTCCTTCCTCCTCCAGCTCTGACTGGAGAGGGAACCACAGCTTCATCACAGGCTATTGCTGCCCAAAGGTCACGTTTGTGACAAAATGCACATTAGAGTCAATTTGGAGCATTTGATGGGAAAGTGACCCTGAATGGAGACACTGCAGGAGGCTTCAGTCCTTATTGTTCTTAGCCGAGGAAGAATCCATGTTCCTAACTGTCTTCTTTACGAGTTGGATGTAATACGTATGTGACATTCAGGTCTGGTTGAGTTATTGCTATTTATCCGAGAAAAGGAAGTGATTAACTGCTTGGGTGTGAATGAGCAAAGAGGGGGTCGCATCAGTGGCTCTATGTTTTTATACGATGGACGGATGAAAATTCGGGGAAGACGTTGTAATATACTACTACATTTTGTCAGAGGACCGTTGACATAAAATAAAAAAATGACATGCAACGGATATTATAATACTTTATTACTTTATAGTTCAGTAACATGTTTTGTGTTTCTGGTATTTTGTCGTATTTCTAAACTCCACCCGACACCAACCTGGACGCCTCTGAAGGTGACTCTCTGCTCCTCTGCAGTTAAGCTAGTGGTGGTAAAGACGACACTTTTGTCCTTTCCACTCAGTGTCACTGCGACCTGTATCTCCTTATCCTTGGACAGCACCCTCCAAAGGTCAAAGGTCAGCTGGCTAGAAGTCCCCTTTAGACGCAGGGTGGCTATGAACACGTAAGAAGGAGGGAGGCCTTCTGGGAAGATGTCCCTGGTACGAGGAAGAGGTCGACATACTAAATACACACAACAGTTGATGGAATGAACTGATAGATTTGTAGTTCAAATTCTACCTGGTGTCCTCAGTGATGTCGGTGGAGGCCGTCAGAGCGTAAGCGGCCTCCGAAATCAAAGAGCCAGGGATCTTCTTGGCCTTCTTCTGAATGTTCATGCCCAGAAGCAGCTCAAAGCCTTTCTCATCCCGAGAGGCCACCGGGATTCGTGTTGGACAAACAGACTCTAGAAAGAAGAGAGGTCATTCGGTCAGCTACGCAAACCTCACGCCAAAGCCTGAGCTCAACCCATGACGCAAACATGGAACTTGGAACATGGAACTCTCCTGAAGCCTTCTGAAGAAACCCTCAACCCTTCTGAAGAAAACAACTACAGACCGGTCTCTCTTCTTCCCTTTTTGTCCAAAACCCTTGAACGTGCTATCTTTAATCAACTCTCCTCTTATCTCCACTGTAACAACCTCCTTGACCCCCACCAGTCAGGTTTCAAGGCAGGGCACTCCACAGAGACTGCTCTCCTTGCTGTCTCTGAGCAACTCCACACTTCTAGAGCCGCCTCTCTCTCCTCTGTCCTCATCCTTCTGGACCTCTCTGCTGCATTTGACACGGTCAACCACCAGATCCTTATTTCCTCCCTTCAGGAACTTGGTGTCACAGGCTCTGCTCTCTCCCTTCTCTCGTCCTACCTCGATGGCCGCACCTACCGGGTAACCTGGCGAGGATCTATGTCGGAACCGTGTCCTCTTACTACTGGAGTTCCTCAGGGTTCCGTGCTGGGTCCCCTCCTGTTTTCGCTTTACACCAACTCTCTTGGCGCTGTCATTCGCTCGCATGGCTTCTCTTACCACAGCTATGCCGATGACACCCAACTAATTCTCTCCTTCCCTCACTCGGACACCCAGGTGGCGGCTCGGATCTCTGCCTGTCTAACTGACATCTCTCACTGGATGTCCGCCCACCATCTGAAAATCAACCCCGACAAGACTGAACTACTTCTCTTTCCTGGAAAAGATTCGCTTACCCAGGACCTGACAGTCAACTTTGGGAACTCCGTAGTAACGCCCACTTCGACTGCTAAGAACTTCGGCGTCACACTCGACAGCCAACTCTCCCTGACTCCCAACATCACCGCGACAACGCGATCCTGTAGATACACGCTCTACAACATCAGGAGAATACGTCCCCTTCTCACTCAGAAGGCAGCGCAGGTACTGATTCAGGCTGGTCTTTAACCTTCCGAAATTCTCCCACACTACTCCACTCCTCCACTCTCTTCACTGGCTACCGGTGGCCGCCCGCATCCAGTTCAAAACACTGGTGCTCACGTACCATGCTGTGAATGGATCGGGTCCAGCTTACATCCAGGACATGGTCAAACCCTACATCCCAACCCGTACTCTCCGCTCTGCATCTGCACAACTACTCGTCCCTCCCTCACTGAGAGCAAAACACTCGACTAGGTCTCGACTCTTCGCTGCCCTTGCGCCGAAATGGTGGAACGAGCTCTCTGAAGACATCAGGACCGCAGAGAGCCTTCACATCTTCCACCGCAAACTAAAGACACACCTCTTCAGACTCTACCTCGACTAAAGACTAACAAATTGTAGCACTTAAATTGTACTTGTAACATCACTCATCTATAGCAAATTGTAAATTGGCTTATTTGAGGAAATTGCACTTTCTTGTTTCTTGTTCTCCTGAGTTTGTACCCTATTGTTGAATGCACTTATTGTACGTCGCTTTGGATAAAAGCGTCAGCTAAATGACATGTAATGTAATGGAACGTCCAGTGAAAGCAAGAAGATGAAGCCCTTATGGATGTCAATCCCTGCTTCTCCTACATGGGGACACAATGTCTGCAGCTACTCTCTGCTTCCCTCTGCTCTCTGTTCTCAAGTCAGTGAGAACTTAGAACATGTTGACCTAATGCAAGCGGACGAGGTACATGATTAAGTGCTTGTTAAAGGAATTAACACACGCATAGTAATGTAGTGTAATGAGAAGTGGGAGGAACTACCAGGTACCCAGCGCTCCTCAAGTCCCTTATGACTAAACTCATTGACTCACATTCCATCATGCAGGTTGAAGTTATCTGTCAAGTCACATTGAGGTTATTGTTTGAAGAAACGTGAACTTGTAACACAGAGAATTGAGAAGCGTCCTTATAGACATGTCAAGTACAGTGAGGGACTAGATATCAACCTTCACAGAGCTTCTGCTCCATGGAACCTTGAATGAGGTCAATGGTGGTGTAATCTTCGGCGTAAAGGACATAGGCAGATGACGGCCTGTTGGCGATGGATACCAGCTCGGAGGTGGTGATCTCACTGCCGACTCCAACAGCAAACACTGTAATGCCCTGAGCTCGGGCCTCCACACTGGCATCCACCTAAGGAGACACAGGCAGCAGTGAATGGTGGAGAGGCTTTCCATTTAGACCGTAGAGTGGATGCTGGAAGAACAGTGCCAGAGATGTAATATTAACAATATTACAGCTTTCCCCAACATGCTGGGAGCTGCTCCCTCCTTGAGGTTCCATGGATTACAAATATGGGTCACCCAAATAACCATCACTTGGTTTTACTGAGGCACCTGAACGCAGCAATGGGACATTTACCACGTCGTCCTGAGATTTGCCATCAGTGACCACGACGGCAATGCGATTTTTGACCTGGCTGGCTCTGTTGGAGGAGGCGAAGACGTGGTCCACGGCAAACTTGATGGCCCTGCCAGTCTGGGAGACAGTCAGAGAACAGTGAGGACCTGGTAGAACCGACGGAAAAACCACAACGTTGTGAGGGATTGTGTGTGTGAACTGGTATGCTCACCGGTTCCCACCCATTGACAGCTGCATCACATCAGAGTACAAATACAATTATAAGGACACAAAAATGCTTTTAAAAGTCTCCATAGGAACAGCACAACCTGTAAACGAGTGCTTCTGGTATCGCTGTGTGGTGCACCTGTGGTGACTGAATGTTTGCACCCTTTGACCTGCTCGAGTGGAGTCGCTCCTCTTTAGGAAGTTTTACAAGTGGCTCGCTGTCCGTCTTCTGCATGAGAGGCCCCGATCAACCCGGGGAGGCAATTGTTGCAGCTACCAGCTCATTGAGGACATATGCACATATATTGCGTCAAGTGTCAAATATCAATTGAAATAAGTAGTATTATTCATTGTCATGAAATATTATTATATTATATTAATTATATTAATCATGTAAATGTAATAATTGCATATCCTAAAGCCATTGTGATATTTTTCATACAATTACATACTATGTAAATCTTTCCATTCCCCAAAGAGCCAGAAATTGTACCATTTTGCCACCAGGTCCAAATTTGCTTCAAAGCAACTTCTCCTCAGGACTCAACCTCATAAGTCGCAACGAATGTGCAAATTATTTAATTATTTAAACAATTAATAATTGTTTTGATAATAAAACGGTTTCACAGTCCATGAACACTGTCCAGCTGTGTTTTCTCCTTTCTTATCGCGCCCTTAGTGTGATTTATTCATCAGCCCTTAAACAATGTGTCAAATCTGTTTTTATCCAGAAAACTGGAGCCCAACACTTCCTGATTGTAGAATATTCTTCTAACACCTGCATGCAGATGGGCACAGCGGTGCAGAGAGAGCATGCTGTCCTGCCTGTGTGTTTCCTCCCAGGTAGCTGATGCTCTGTATGGCCTGGATGAGCTTCGCTCCGCTCTGGTGTTGCCCCAGAGGAATCTCCATTCGAGGCGTGTCACTGTACTGGATCACAGCCACCTGCAGCGGACACAAACAAACCTGACATTGCTCCGAGGCGCTTGGAACGCGACCACGACGGAGCAATGGAATGTTTTTATCCATCAAAGCTGACAACCGAAACAGAATGACAGTGTTGTTGTCGACAGGAGAAGACAATCCATTGAGACGGTCCGTAAGCAAACTGAGAGTTAAAGGAAAGTTACCGCTAAATGTTAATTGCAATAACAATCTTGTGACAAGGTTTTCCACATGGTTTAAATGACCTGTGTGTAGTGGGAGCTGACGTCAAACCGCCTGGTGATGTTGATGAGCCACTGCTTGGCCGTGTCAAAGTCAGAGAAGCCGACACTCCATGAGCCATCGACAATATAGACCAGGTCATTGACAGCTGTGCTACAGCCTACACACACACACACACACACACACACACACGCAGTGTAATCAAAGACACATCTTAACAATGCAGGGACAGATGATCAACATTCCAGACTCAAAAGTTGAGTGTCTAACGCGTAATAATAAGTGAACTCTACCTGCTCGGACATTGTCCTCCTCTGCAGCTTCAAGGGGGACCAGCAGCAATATCGCACTCCACAGTGACCACAGCAACATCACTGCGTAGGACAGCCGTCTACCTTGGTCCAGTCCAACCTTGCAAAAAACAAGAATTGAAAAAATGGCCTCAAGACGTTTTATTCCGCCCCATGAGGCTGACCTTTCCAACTGACCAAACCTTTCATTGATAATGTCTTTGACCAATGGTCAAAATAAAATACAATCACTTCAAATGAGTCCTTTAGCAGAATCCCCCTGCCAGCCGGCTCCTGGCTAATATCCAGTCACAGGACAACTCGGGCGCCCCTGGCAACAGGAGGTCGGTGCCCACGTCTTGTCAGAGACCTGGCCGGTTAGTTAAATATATAAAATATAGTTATTGCTGTGCACTGACTGTCTCAGACTCGTTTGGTCTGCAGAACCTTTGAAAGCTGCTTGTTTTAAACCTCATAGCAAACCTCACCTGAGTGACTCCACCACTTGCAACAAGTCTGTTGAGTTGTGTGGAAGTAAGCGTACAACGATCACACTGGCGGTGGTACACATGAAATGGGCTCAGACCATGTTGCTACGTGGCTTTGAATGGAAATGTCCCTTCTACCCCGACACTTGTGGATACCCAACCTAACCTATGTAAAACTGTACCCTGTTGTTCGGTTAGACAAAACAAGGTACTCTGCTTGTGTCAAGTTATTCTTCATGACAATAGAGATGTGATAAACTGTCTCTGCTCTGACCCGACTGAGAGGTATTGATAGTTAGAGAGGGGGGGGCCAGGCCCCCATCAGGAGTGCGTTGACACTAGAGGACAAACAATAGTAGGCAGTCGTCCATTGGCTCCAGCTCTCCCTTTGGTTCTCCAACATGTCCTGGGCGGGTCTGGGCTTGTCTCTCAGCTAGCGGCGCTAGCTGTCCCTCCATGAAAGTGGCCACTCCCTTTGTTCTGGAGAACTAATGAATACGCTGCTTTGTCGCATTTGATATAGGAATACCTTGTAAAAGCCTTTTCCAAGCTTCCATGTTGTGCCACGCAACGTATGGTCAGCAGCGTTGTGCGTTTTCTCCCTGTGTTCATTTTGAAGCGCAAACATGGTTCCACTGACCACAAGGTTAGGCCGGAAAATACCAACGTGAGCACTATGCCGGGATGGGAAACGGAAAATATAAGCAATGCAGAGAGGGCTGCAGTGTTCTGGCAAAGGCTTTAAAGACAGGGAAGGATCAGTCAGCTGAAGAGAGAACAGCCACCACAACCTTTCTGTGACAGTCTCCTCCCAGCTCGCTCTCTCTCTCTAGAGTCAAATTACACCAAGCTGCTTCTATTTCTGAATTCATTTGTTTCCTCCAAAACAATTAGTTAACAGTATAAAGTAAACGTCGCAATGGGAAAAGACTGCAGTTGAAATAATACAAAACCTGTTGAGAATGGTATCCTGCTTAAAGGTGCATTAAGAAACTAAATAAATGAATTTATGAATGATATCAGGTAATGTTGGTGACCACTGCCTAGATGTGGTGAATAAATCTATAACACCAACTATCTTTGTCATTGTAGTGTCTAAATGCACAGTCAACCTGCTCCCTCACAAACTGCATGTCGCTAAGATGGGCTTTAAACAGGTGAACAGTGAGGCCTCCACAGGGCCGAACTGCAGCCTGTGTGCACGACTGAGGGACCATATGTGCTCAAAATGGGATGATTGAATGGACCCCTGCTGGGTTTTATGTGTTTTAAGGACGTGTTGGAAGATGATTGACAGTGACTCGGTTTCCATCCACTTGTTACTGCACCTAAAATTCAAATCAAGCTGTGAAGAAATCTTCCACATGTATGTTTCTATCCCTCCAGTACCATCATTCAATTATTTGCAGTAGGTCCTTTGAGATGAGCCATTTGAATCCACCACTATTTGAGATGACATGAGCAGAGCACAAACCTCAGTGGATGTTAAAGTCACATGATCAGTTCCTTTGACTCTCCACCTCAGCCAAGCGTTATTTCTGAGTCCATATCATTTTCTCTCGGGTCTTTTCCATGCGTGTGTGTCGCAGGTGGATGGAAACACACTTTGTGTCTTTGGTTGAGTAGCATTTAGCATTTAGCTCGCCCTCTGAATTGGCCCCAATGACACACTCTAAAACTATAAACTGTGTGTGAGAAATGGACGTGGTTGTCGTGGCGTGTTTGTGGTTTTCTTCTTCTTCTTGACTTCTTTAGGTCTCAGTGCAACACACTGTCCTCCAAGTGTCACATGAGAGCTTGGAAAACAGAACTTGTGCTCCTGAAAAGGCACGTGTCCTCTGGTTGGTATCCAGTGTCTCCTACAGGTGTTTGTTGCAGGACAGATGGGTCCCAGTGTGAGAGGAGAACATGGTGTAAAGCAGCAGGAGGCCCAAAGAACAACACCGAGACAACACAGGAGAACCTTTTCTACAAATGTCTCCAGCAGGATCCTTTCTTTGATCCATCTGTACGTCCTCTCCTCAGCGCCCCACTCTTTCATTTTAAAGCAGGCTGCTTTTCTAAATACACACAGTGGGGATCTGCAGGTAGTGAACCCAAGTTCTTCCAAACCACAAGTGAAGCACAGCAACCACATCCAGCATCCCCGCTGGCTGCAGCACCACACAGCGTTCCTCCTGCACACATGTTGGTGGGATTGCTCAACGCCTTTGGTGGCTTCACAGAACAAATAGGACTAAACATTTATTCATCACATGTATTTCTGACTGACACCTGAGAACATCCTTTGGTCCTTGTGGTGGATTAGAAGATGTACGGTCTGTCAGGATATTACTGTGTGATCGTAGTCAAATTGAGTCCAATACCTTTTCAAAAGATCCGTGTTGTTGCACTTTGAAGCTTGTTTACTGTCATTTACACCGTTCTTTAGATGATGCTGTGATTTCACAACTTGTTGTTTACACAGATGACAGTTTGAAGGGTGAGTGAAATGTTCTGTCCTTAAACCGTGTGACGATATGCACGTAACATGTTGACGCACATCACCTATAACTGATGCCAGAGGGGTAAGAAGTGGCTCCATCGTACTTTCTGTCTGTATTCCATTCATTTCATCAAGCTCAGAATGACAAAGTACATCCTGTACACATGCAACATCCTATTGGCCAGACAGAACTATGCGTCCTGTAGCAAAAATAGGTCCACTCCATCTTCTAACATCGTCTCCATCCTTTCCAACTGGTTCAGTCGTTGAACAGTCATTTCAGACCACACACTTAAGGAACAGCAGAGCTTGAAAATGGCAAAACACACAGAGAGACACTGAGGCAGACAACTCGCTGACCCATAATCACAGGCCCTATACTGTATATTTAGCCTTCTCTTTGTGCTGATGGACAGTCCCTGGTGGACAGACCAATGGCGCGCTGACATGAAGTCCAGAACACGCTACTAAACACATACATGTCACACGCGTCATACACGTCTTACATGCAGCAGCAGCAAATCAAACAACAACCGACGTAACGCACAAGTGTCCAAACTCTGTGTTAGCTAGATAACTTTGATACTGACGAGCCTGAGATGTTATTTTGTGCTGGATACATGCGTACAGTTTATATAACATCTAGGTCTCCACAGCAGCACATACAGTGAAGTAAAGGATGGCAAAGCCTTACCTTCCTCTGTCAGCCCGCAGCAGCAACCATGAGGGAGAGTGAGGAGGGTGAAGTCCTGGCTCTGGTTGGCAGTGGGAGGGGTGGGAGGCTCCAGCCAAGCATTACAAACGGTGGAGGGGAGAGAGCCACTGAGAGCAGCACCTCATGTGGACACACACGTCCAATGTGTGGGCGGAGCACAGCGTCGAAATGCAAAAGGCTTTTAAAGAGTTTTCAGCCTTTTCAGTCCCTGTTCACTTGAGCCCTTTAATTATCCCAACACACAGGAATAGCAGTCACATGGTCAAGCGGCACTGCAGGAGTTTAACTAACGCAACGACACCCGACAGAGCATCTGTCGCACACATTGGACCTCTGACACACTCCAGGATGAAGCCTTGACTGAAACACCAGTGTTTGCAGTGACAGGTGAGATGGTCCTGCCTGCACGTAGAACACGCTTCAACTAAATGAAACTTCTCTGCATCGTATAACCAGCAGAAAGGATGTTCACAGCTCCATATTGTCTTCTATTGTTTGTATCTTCTGCTGAGGGACTTCATTCAGGCAATAAACTGTCATGAGCCTGGTCACCATCCTGGTAAATTGGGAGAATTATGGAGGCGTTATTTTACAAATGTCTTTTTGACAAACTAATCTCAAGAGAAGACACAAAATGATGAACGTGTCCTACCAGCAAGAGGCGTGTGTTACTTATGTGTGAGATATGTTCTTCGTACAGCACTTGCTCCTCCAGATGTTCTCGTTCCATCATTGGTCTCAATGACGTGTGCGCACAGGGACAAGGCGCCCCCTGCTGGAGCTGCTCAGCGAGTCAGTGTGAGCTCTGTAAGTACGATCAACACGAGCCGACCAGATACAGGACACAGTGGTTTGCACCTGCAGGTGGAACATCTGGCTCTTTTGTCAGTGTGTCGGTTCCTCTGTCAGCTACTCATTTGATCTCATGGAATACTGACGTTTGGATGGTGCCATGCAATTGGGAATAAATTTCCCAGGGGGGTCCTGTCCTATGGAGGACCAAAAATGACTTCAGAATGAATGTGTAAATAAATACAGGAACATTGTAGTGTAATATTTTATTGACTAGGTGTCTCTTACGTCTCCTTTAATCATGCATGACAATGCTGTCCCCCCTTTTAATGTGGAGGTGACCAGTAGGAGCTGATCCAGCACCCCCACACCTCCCCCAAGGACAGAGATGTTTGTCACCTTAGACTATATAACTTGAAGACTTGTATGTGTCAACTCTGCAAGCGTTTAATGAACGTCATGTTCAATGATTTTACCGGCGTTGTGTGAAACGTTTTCTAACAATGATGGAGCAAATCGCACAGCAGGTTTAAACACACACACGACGGTCATGCGTCACGGGGGATTCTCATAAACAGCCCTGGCAACAGGCGGATGCTAGCGTGCGTCGCCATGGTAACCACTTTACTGGTGAGAGTGAGAGATGTAAGAAGTAGAAGCAGAATGAGCTTCTTGTCGGTCAGGTGAGCAGCAGAGGGGCTGTTCATCAGCTTCAGGTGTCAGGTCACTAAAGGATCAACAATGAGACGACCCCCCAAACAGGACTGGTTTCTCCCTCTGGATCTCTGACTGGTTTTCCATCAGTTGTCTTCATCTAGAGTCACCATCACTACCGGAGAGAGGACACCTCTGCACATTATGTTTGGTCCATCAGACCTGTTATCTGTCTCCTACATTATAAACATCAACATTTGTTTGAACTAATCACACAATAAAGTGCAGCACCTTTTAGAAATCTGACATTTCTTCATTCATCTGGACTTTATTTAAATAATCTTTTGGATTGGTTTAAAACTTGATTTTCTTTTTTTAACTTTTATGTTTTTAATCTTTTGGTCAGTAAATTTAATGAATATTTACATATTTGTTTTTGTGTATGTTTTCTTATTTTTTTGTTGGGTTAAGCTATAATCCACCTTTACCTGTTTTACCTGTTTAAATCACCATGTGAGGTTCATGTGCAGCATTCTGACTGAGATGTTGCTTCATATTTATTTCATGACAAACTGAACGATTGTTGTGGGTCTATTTTATTTGCTGTGGCAATGAAGAATTCACTGACACATTCAGATTCCTGTGGATTTGAAGCTTGGGAGAACTTGGGAGAACTAAATAGATGCTGTGAGGTCAAAGGTCGTCGCGTTTGGTAAAGGTTGAGAGAGAAAAGAGGGAGAGTTGTGTGAAAGCACTTCTTCCTGTTTGTGTTCAGTACGACTGTTACGTCCGGCTGCTCTATTATTGTGTTCTCCTCCCCCATGTCTTTGTTTCCAGTCTGTTCTTCCCAGGTGTGGTGAGTTGCTGCTGACGATGCAGGCGTGGCCAGCTGTTCCTCCAGCCAATCCAGCTCTCAGCTCTGCTCCTTTAAAAATGTTTGTGTGTGAGAGCTTGAAATAAAAGAGAGAGGTCTTGTGTTTTGGGAGAGATTGAGAGAGACATTGATTTAGATATTGAAAGAATATATGGTTTATGTTGTTTGTTAAACTGTGGTCTATTGTACACCCAGGTCTGTGTTTATGTACTTACCCCAAGAGTGCTGTGGAGCAGGGCTAGGCAAGATACCCTGGGTTCTACATACACCCGTAGGGAAAACCTCTGTTAGATACACTAGATTAGAAGCCAGCGGCTGACACCCAGTGTATTGTAGCAGTGAGGTAAGTGGTGTGATAGGTTAGATTGTGGTAGGTAGGTCTAGAGGGTTAGGGAAGCTCAGGGTCCTTTGTTTTGTTTCTTTGCTTTGACAGACCGCTGGCACCGCCCTACTCCACAGACCTTGTTACCTGTTAGTCGTCCTATCCCGTGTCTTTGTACTTGTGTGTAATTGTTTGTTGAAATGTTTGTATTGTTATTGTAGGGGAAATAAACCCACCATAGCCATCCATTGTAGTAGTGTCCTTTACTTGATGTGATTGCAAGCTGGGGCCTTCGCACACGGGTTCAGAATCATCCAGAGGGCGTGGTCTTGGGCAGTTAAGCCTTCCTCCTCTCCCGAGCCGGGGTGGAGGCGTAACATACATACTAAATAAATACGGACTGCAACTGATGACGTCACCCTATTCAAAGTGAACGGGGACCTGCACCCCGTAAACACACTTTGTGAAGTCTAACGATGTAAAAAAAACGTGATTGCATTTTTAACAAGAAATCAATGTTAAATTGTGAGAATAGACTACTAACCCTAACTCCCTCAAAAAATCCAACATGGCGGAGAGACGTTCACTCAAGAATCCAACATGGTCCGCCTTGTTGTTCACTCAAGGGGCGTGCTTAACCACCGCGAGTCACACATCTGTCCTCACTTTCCTCTTCTGTGAGAGATGAGGAGATAACAGAGAGTATTTATGGCTTCCTCTCCTTTTTCACCTCATCACAGGACGGCTGATTGACACACGTCAGTATCAGGTTTGCTGCAAACATCCTCACCTTTGACTTTAAGGTCTGACTGTTGGTATGTTTCTCTGTCCTCTTCACAAGTATGAGTAATCATATCTGTCTTTGTATTACAGGTGGTCTTCATCTGCATCATCTCATTGCCTTCACCATGAAGACGCTGACTGTGACTGCCCTTCTGTGTGCCATCATGGCTCTGACTGGAGCTGCTGGTGAGTATTAGATGTAGTAACTGGTACGTATCCATTTGTTGTCATTGAATAGCAATAATCCAGCTCAATAACTTCACAGCTCTCCCAGAGGAAATGTCTGGAGAAGAACCCAATGGTGAGTAGCTTCCACTGAGATATTTGGATTCACTGTTGTGTAGGGACATAATCCTTTGTTTTGCATTGCGTAATGACATTTACCCACCATCAAAATCAGTTTAATACAGTAATATAAAAGTTATACAGAAAGACTCCACATTAAACCTTATTTCTCTCTGCAGAGCAACATCTGGTCAAGCGGTCTTTATTTTGTTGGCACGGTTGGACTCGCTATAACGGTCGCTGTTTGCGCTTCATTCCAAGAGCGATGACTTGGACTAACGCTGAGGTAATGCTGGTGACTTTGATAAAATGTTTGCAGTTGACTGTAGTTTTTGTGAATATTAAAAACAGACATGAAGTTGCAGCCAACTAACTTGGATCGCTCTCAGAATCTTTACTGCTACTTAACTTCGGTAAAGTCTGCACTTTTATATGAACAGAAATGGAAGTCTACCAAAATATATGTATACGCTGTACTCAGACTCTCTGTTTACATATCTAGTTAGTCTTTTAACACTAAATATAGTATATTATATATATATATTTATATATATATAAATAAAGTTTGGAAACCAACTACCTTGAGATGTAGAAAAATGAATAAACTCATCTCAAAATAAGGGTTGGGCGCGTTAACACATTATAAATGAGTTAACGATGCAATCCATTAACGCTGACAACAATTTCATCATGGGTTAACAGCATTTTTAAACCAACACAAGAAGAATAAAGTGTCCTTAGAACAGAAACGATTGAGGCGCGTACGAACCTCCAGCATCACGCACGCCGTGAGGAGAACACAGGAGTTGAAATGCAGTGACGTCGTCACAACGAGCACCGACCGCTTCTCTCACTGAGGACATGCAGACTCACAGCAGTGTGTCGAACAACATCTGCACCTGAGGAAGCTGGTTCTCTCTTGCTGGTCGTACTGTTTAGAAGACGAGAGGTTCTTCATCATCTGGAAACGTAGATGACCTTGTATGTCTTAGCAGCTGGCTCCGTTCAGAGGAGTAAGAAAATGTAAAGTCGGAGGAACGGATAAAAAAAGGAGATTTAAAGTCAATTGTCTCATTGTGTAACTCCTCAACCAGCATCAAACAAGTTGCTTTTTTATTTGACTGAAATGTCATTTTTATGCTAAAGCACTTTACCTCACTAACAGGGACTCGTACTACTGACCATATTCTGCATTATGTTGATCCTTGATAAAAGAATAATTTTTCTTCTGGTACCTGTTCAGAAAGAAAAGGATCTCCGAGAGTTCCTCTTATATTGTCCTGATAACGTTACTTTAAAATAAAACCGCGCAATACACATTTATAATGTATCATTGGATTTTGCGCATCATTGGGATTAATCGCTGTAAATCCCATTTACATTTTTTTTATCTTTGCCCATCACTACTCATAATGTATCACTGATTTTAAATTCAAGAGTAAATTGGTTCAAACCCTCCCCAATACATCCAGAGGGCGTGGTCTTGTACGCCTTCCTCCTCTCCCGAGCCGGGGTGGAGGCGTAACAACGACATCAACATGTTATTATCACAAAGAAATGAACATGAACGCCTCTGTTGGTGTTATTTGGTCTTTATTATATTCACACTGTGATACGTGTTGGGAATATGAATCGTGTTTACTGGTTTAATCCCATTGCTGACGTCCCCCAGCTGGCCAGGACCAGTCACTGCACCACATGTTGTTTCCAAAAAAAGTCAATTATTCACATTACAAACATAAAATTATATTCCTGTGAAGCCAAAGTAACACATGGAGGCACTAAACGTTGTACTATTATACCCTAACGGTAATAAAAACACAAGTACCTGATATTATCTGTCATTAAACCTTCAGAGGTTTGCTGAAGCTTTCAAAAGCTTTTTGTTCAGAACAAACCTGATTACGTGGAATTAGATTTCACACCAACAATCCTTGAAAAAGCAACACCTTGATTTTATTAGCATGAATGCTAATGATGCACACACACACATAAGGACAATTTATCATCAGAGACATTTGTCTCATATGGGGGGACAGATGAAAGACCGTTTTATAAAATGTCTTCTTGAACACAAAGATTAAGATTAAAGCCTAATTAGGAGCCAATATCTAAATGATCATCTATTGATTGAAGGAGCACAGCAGCATTAAACTGAGCTCTTTCACACTTCCACCTGAGTTCCAGAGAGCTGTGGACCCCCCAGAGTCCAGACCAGCTCAGGTACCCCTCACCTGCTCACCTCCATCTACACCCACATGAACCACCATCAGCTGTACAGACTGAACTATGTGGTGAGCAGAGAGGAATGTTCTCCACCAGGAGGAGACTCTCCCTCCTGAAGAGGACACAGAGACACTGAGGAACCAGAACCAGACAAAACCCAGGATAAAGAGGTTCAGTGAATGTGGTGCTGAAGGTGTGGAGGTGGATCAGTGTGTCAGAGGAGACTCTGTAGAAGGACACAGAGCCAGCAGGACAGTCCACATACACTGCTACTCTACCAGAGGAGGAGGAGGAGGTGATGGATGTTACGGTCTCATTGTGACAGACATAGTAACCTTTATCAGAGCATCTCAGACTCCATGACTGATCATTGTATCCAAACACACAGTCTCTACTGTTTCCTTTCCTCCTGATTCCTCTGTAACTCACTGATACATGAACGTCTCCTCTCCACTCGACCTCCCAGTAACAGCAACCAGTCAGACCAGTTCTACACAGCAGCTGAGGCCAGTAGTCAAATCTGTCTGGATGATCAGGATATGACTGATCCTCCTCCACACTTGTCACCTTCCTGTTGTTGTCAGACAGTTTGAAGTGTTTGTTTATGGTGTTTGTGTCGATTGTGAGTTCACAGGAATCTGATGAGAGAACAAGACACAATACAGCTGCAGTTATTAATCATGTGTTCATCTACTGACACTTTGATGATGACATCACAGAGGTGAATGAGTGATGTCACAGTGTGAAGATGGTTGAATCTTCATAAATCAAAGCACACTTACACTTCCTCAGACCTGGTGTCAACCATCGGACTCCATCAGGCTCCACCCTGAAAGGAGGAGGGGGGTCAGAGCAGCATGGAGACATGGACATTACATCTCTCTCACACACAGCTTTGTCCTTCACCTCTTCTTCTTCCACAGCTCATCATGTTCACTCATTCATCATCAGCATCATACTGACCATCATCTTCATTTCACACTCAGCTTCCTTCAGCAGTCAATCAATCAAATGTTTCAACCTGCATCAAGTGGTTTCTTTGTCCACTTGTGCTTAAACACAATATGTGACATCGATCATCTTCTACAGTAGTTCTGTGTAATATGAGATCAAGCAGCGGCTTCCACATCCAGCAGGTTCACGTCCACATGATGGTCCATCAAGAGTCTGTGTCTCCTGATGGATGAAGTCTACTATTCTCTGTGGTTCATCTCCACCACTGTCAGCTGATCCATGGTCAGTGTAGAAGTATTAATTGTTGGACCTCTTGTGTTGGTTTAATAATGACTGTTGTCTCTCTGACGTAAAGGAGAAAGTATCCTGAGATTACTACAGCACCACAAAGGTTTGGACATGAGGACAAAGACACACTGGAGGCAGATGACCAGCATCTACACATCCAGGTGTTGACAGGTGATGTCTTTCAGAAAAGAAGTGGGTTTATTTTAGTGCTGTCGCTCCAATAAGTTTCTGAAGTGAAGGATGAGATGTGCAGTGTTTCTTCTGTGTGTTACTGAGAGTCCCTGTGAGGATGCGTGGGTCCTCATCACCAGTCAGATAAAGTCACTGTTAAATAGTTCAAACTAGGAAGAAATGAATCCACCACATCTGGCGAGCTACCAGCGACCACGAGCCGGACCGACACCGGAGCTGCTGCTGCTCCTCTCCTCTCACCGACCCAACGCCAAGACGTCATCAGAGGGAAGCAGGGAGACCTTTTCTAGTCCTCTGCAGTGGTGCTGTCGGTCTGTGAGGTATGAGGAGTGCTGCTGAGGGTGGACGTTGTCCCACAGGAACCTTCCAGAGGACCATGGAAGTGAAGGACGGTGTTTGTGTGAAGTAACTGTTTGTGACCCCAAAGACGTAAGTACGAGTAATGCTGCTCAGTGATGGTCATCACAACGGACGATGCCACGGATTACGTGACATCTTCACAGGGGAAATATACCATGTGTGAGCTCGGAGTCAGAGCCATTTAAATCCCCGTTAGTGGGCTGAAAGTGGCAGCAAATGTCCCGGCGACAGATACCTCCTCCAGCAGGAACAACAACTTCTAGGATTGAAAAGGGAGAAGCTGATCAACGACTGTCCAACGCGATGGAACAGCACATATGAAACGATCTGCGGCGCATCGGAGCAGCAAGCAGCTGTGTCTGCTGTCATCTTTGAGAAGAAACTGTCAAGAATGGAGCTGAGCACAAGCCAACGGTCCCTAATGGAAAAGGTGAGCGTGTGAGTGAGAGTGTATGAAATATGTACCGTGACAGGCTGGACAAATGCAAACGGTCCTAACAATAGGTAGAAGGACGGCCCCCATTTATTTACTGTGTGTCAATATTATTAACACATGGATAAATGGAAACCTGTCAATCTAATATTTACGCATATTATATTCACTTATTTATTGCAGGTACAAGAGGAACTTCAACCCTTTAAAGGGGCCACAGAAGCACTTTTAACTGACAAATGTCCAACTGCCTTTAAAACATGTTGTGAACAAGCCAAAAGGTGTCCTCAGAGACTCTCTCATCCATTGTGGACCACGGTATCCATCAAAGATCTACTGACGCACAAATGGAGAAGAAGCAAGCAGCATATTTTGTCAGGGTCTTATTAACCAGACTCACAGTGTGAGGGAGAGAAAAAGTTTCCAGCTCGTTGGTCTGTGGCTTCAGCCTCTTCATACCTGAGAGTCTCCAGTCTCCAGTGAGGATCCTCCAGTCCAGCAGCTTCACTCCTGAGTCTCCTGGATGATTGTAGCTCAGGTCCAGCTCTCTCAGATGAGAGGGGTTGGAGCTCAGAACTGAGGCCAGAGAAGCACAGCCTTCCTCTGTGAACAGACAGCCTGACAGCCTGCAGACACACAGAATAAGACACATGTCACATGATCTGAAGGAGCTGTGAGAGCTGAAAGGACACTACAGTACTGAGATACTATCAGGTACAGAGGGGTCACATTAACGTGGTTACTGACTTGTTTCCAGTCAAAACTAAACACCCACTGATGTACATCAACAATCTGATAACAGTAGTGCTAACTCTGTTAATAGTCTCACATAT